GGCCAGATTTCGGCTAAATTATTCTTGGCAGGACAAAACTTTTGTGAGGCACCTCCGTAGATCCTATGCTGTTGGCATTCTGAAGAAATCAAAGAGCACTTAGTGGTCGATCGCACGCCGAAACTTGATTGCGTGAGACAAATTTAGCAAGCGATGATCGTCAAGGCGTGCTTTAGGTAAGCTTTCTTGCGGTAGTATGGTTAAGACCCTAGTTACGAATGTCAGCAGTTCAAGTAGCATATTGCTTCTTGTGGTTAGAGGTCGGATGTAGGAAGTTCTCTGCTCGTCAGAAATGGTTCTTGAAATCAGACAGCCGGCGCAACACTAGAAGCAACGACACCAAAATCAAGAAACAACCCTGACATGAAAAGCTGGACAACTCAAACTCTTTGGTGAGTGACAGTTGCATTTAGGCAGTGAGATCTGCGCCAACGCGCCATCCGGTAAGACGGTGGCATAGCATGGTGCCCGGAATGGTCAGCGCACCGTTCGGTATTCATTTCGGACTTATTGCAACACCCCAGAAAACAGCACCCCCTAGCCGGTGAGCTTTGGGGAGTGTGTTGTTCATATATAAATTCCTTGTGCTGCCGATCAAGAGAAAGGGCACGCTACAGATCCAACTCTCTAGTCTCTCGTTGCCATTGTCATCACTTGATCGACATCTCACACTCATTCAGTCGCATTACAAAATGTTGCCACTCATTATGTCCGGCCTTTTGGCTCTTTCTCAAGCTGCTCCAGCTCCTGGAGCCCACCATGGCAAGAAGCCCCCTAACAACCTTGAGCGCGACCTTGCTACCGCTCGCGCCTTCGCAAAGACCGTAACTGGCCCCCCGGAAGTTCTCGCCAACTGGACTGCAAGCTCCCATGTGTGTGAAATGGCTGGTTTCTATTGTGAGACAAACCCTGACAATGTCTTCGCCCTCGCCAGCATCGGTTTCCAAGGATTCCACTTGACTGGCAACATCAGGCTCGATGGCTTGATGAACAAAATGCCTGACCTTGCTGTTTTCCGCGCCAACAGCAACGGCTTCAGCGGCAGCGTGCCCTCCATCAATAATGAGAAGTACCTTGACGAGGTCGACCTCAGCAACAACCAGTGCCTGTGCAGTTTCTCTTGGTGGGAATTGTCTACGAGGTACAAAGTAACGGTCATGACGCTATTTTTTTTTGGGGGGGGGGGGTTGGTATTAAAATGCTGTGGAAAAAGAGAGTAATGCAATCAAGTTCTCAGGAAGGATAGGCAGGATTGAACCAGCGCAAACCCTTTTTGTTTTTATATTTGACATTACTACGTAGAAGTGAAATATACCGTCCCCTTGCTACTGCTACTGCTGCTATGACTGAACCCCCCCTTCGATTTTTTCTTTCCCTACGACAGTAATCCTTGCGGTTGCTTCTTTAGATCTAGCACACCAAGATACCTTGGGACTTGGCGAGGGTGCACTTGGGACCGAGGTCCCGGGACAGCTGGTTACCGGACACAATGATTTTTGTGATGTTCTTGAGGGCACAGAGATCATCGGGAATGGTGCCGGTGATGTGGTTGTTCGAGATGTCGATGGAAGTGAGGCTTTGGATGGCTGTGAACTGGGGAGGGATGGTACCCTGGAGCTGGTTGTTGGACACGTTGAGGTACTGGAGGCCGTGGACTTTGCCGAGGCTGGAAGGAATCTTGCCCTGGAGCTGGTTGCTCGAGACGTCGAGATACAAGAGGTCGTGGACGTTGCCGAGGTTGGAAGGAATGGAGCCTGTCAACTGGTTTACTGAGACGTCGAGGTACTGGAGGCCGTGGATAGTGCCAAAGTCGTTGGGGATGCTGCCCGTCAGAAAGTTGTTCGAGACGTTGAAAACTGAGAGCTTGTGCAGACTATTTAGGCCGGCAGGAATGGAACCACTCAGCTGGTTCACCGAGGCGTCGAAAAGCATGAGGTGGCGGAGAGCGGAGAGGTCGGCAGGGATGTTGCCCGTCAGCCTGTTTCCCAACAGCTGGATCTCTTTGAGCTTGTGGGCTTTGGTAAGGCTTGCAGGGATGGAGCCGACAAAGTTGTTGTTGCCGAGCATGATGTACTTGGCAACACTTTGGCCAATGGTGTCGGGGATTGTGCCCGAGAATTCATTGTTGTTCAAGCCCAGGAACTCGATCTCGCGGAGGGTGGTGAAGACCTCTGGGGGAAGGAAGCCAGAAAACGTGTTGTAGCGGAGGTCCAGGAAAACCAGTTTAGTGTTCAATAGGTTCCTAGGGAACGGTCCAGCAAGACCTGATCTGGTGGACCGACTTGGACACTTTACTGGTATGCTGTGATTTGAAAAGGTCGTGCAAACTAATAAAAAACCAAGTACTTAACAGCAAATTTAACAGGATATGGCGCAAAGATTTCTACTTACTCATAAGTATTGGAAAATGGGCCTTGTCGATTAACTTTACGCTCTCGTATACTCCTTCAGTCTAGGCACTTATTACCAGACTACTCAAGTAGCCGCCCTACTTACACTAGCCGAGCCTGACGTACCGCTCCCACGCCAACTATACCCAATCAGGCAAAACAACTCCAAGTACTTACTTAGCTCCCTTCGTAACTACTGTAACTACTCAACACGAACATCAACATCCAAACCACACCCAACACACAACCAGTATGCTCTCCCTCGAAGCCCGCCGCACCATTTGCGAAGACACCATACAGCGATCCTCCGCCATCGCGGCCTCCACGCCCAGCGGCTCGCTCTCCAGTGTCTTCATCGCATCACAGCTGCCTGCGCTAGCCAAGTCTTTACCTGGTTACCCCAATGCAGTGCTGCAGACACCGATCCAAGTCCACGACAGCGACTCTTTTGCGCTGGCACGGAAATTGACAAATAGCAACAGTAGCAGCAGCAGCAGTGTAGGCGTCCTCAATCTAGCTTCAGATCGCGAGCCCGGCGGCGGCTGGCGCTACGCGCTATCTTGCACGCAGGAAGAAGCTTTATGCTACTCGTCGACACTATACGCAACGCTAAACCCAGCGTGGTATCCCTGGCCCAACACGGGACCCGGGTCCTGCGCGGGCATCGTGTCGCCGGGGGTCGTCGTGTTCCGGGATACGCTAGACGCGGATGTGGTGGAGCTGGCTGAGCACGAAAGATTTGTCGTTGTGGTTATGACGGTTGCGGCGCCGTGTTCGCCTGCTCTGTCTGAGGATGGCGAGGACTTTGCGGATGAGGCGGAGCTGGAGGACCTGCGGGAGAAGGTCAGGTTGGTGCTGCGTATGGCGGCTGGGCAGGGGGTTACGAGGCTGGTGTTAGGGGCTATGGGGTGTGGTGCGTATCGGTGTCCGCCAAGGGCTGTTGCAAGAGAGATGAAGCAGGTACTTGAGGACGACGAGTTTACGGGCTGGTTTGAGATTGTGACGTTTGCCATCTATGCTGGTGGTGCTGTGGGGAAGAGAAACTTGCATGTATTTCGAGAAGTGTTTGGAGAGGCTTGAGTACCCAGTATAGGAATTACCGTCTTCTTGGATATTCACATCAATACGCTTAATCAAAGCCAAATGAGTCACTCAATGTAGTGCTTCCGTCGTATTTGTTCATGCATTTTACATTCGTCATCTGTTCATGGGAACAGCTTTTTCATTCTGATCCAAGCAGACTAGATCAGCGTTGCTTAACAAAATACGGTTACACATATTCCCTTTCTGCATAGCTCTGAATCATACCCTTGGGAGTTGATTCATACTCGACCAGCTCTACCTTGCCGTCTTTTTCAACCGTATTCGCCTGCACAAAGACCTTGCGCGGTGTCTTCTTCTTCAAGACAGCAGGCCTAACCATGTTCTCGTAAAAGGGCTCCACGGTTGTGATCTCGTCGTACATGCGCTTGGCGGCAGCGACGTCTGCAGTAGATTTGTAGATATGCAGCTTCTGGAGGTAGTCGTCCACCGCTGGTCGGCCCAGGTCAAGAATACGATCGCGCTCTAGGCGAATCGTCAGGTCAGAGAGATCTTCCTTTTCCCACTCTAATTGGCAAAACTCAACACCAGCGTTGAGGAAGGTTCGCAAGATCGAAAAGCGTGCCTGCATGTGGGCCTGTCCCCACTTTCGGCTCTTGGGGTCCCAGAACTCTAGAGCGGCGACACCAGCGCGAGCCATCTGGAGGTATGCGGTAAACAACACGTCGCCAGCCTCGCTGTTCATGTCGACTTTGCCGTCACCGAATCCAAACAACTGCAAAATAGGAAACTCGCAAGACAGCGCCATAGCAACGCATTCAGCACGGCATTCTTCGTACGAAGCAGCGATGGCGCCGAATGTCGAGCCCCAGGTTTGACCAGGCTTATACCAAGTTTTGATGGGTTGACCGGTCAGAGGCGAAATGGGGGGTTTCTCTTTGTCAAAGTTGAAAACACCGGGTTCTGTCTCCTGGAGCAGCTTTCCACAGCCATGGCCAAGGAGCTCATGCAGTCCAACCTGCACTTCAAAGGCGGGATCGCGGTACTTTTGATAGGTGGCTAGATCACGGTCCTTGATGAAGGGGACAGATTCATTTGGTGCTTTGGCGGAAAGGATGTTTCCGAGTGAGACATTCTTGAAGCCAAAGTTCTGTCGGATGTCGTCGTAGTTGGGGATATTGATACCAGCAGGGATGCTGTTGGGGTTAGTAACAATGGACGAATGTGAAGAGCATCGGAACTTACCCGCTACCAGCAAACGTCAACACCTCGAGCGATGTAAAGTCTGGGCTCAAGAACTTGTCCTTCTCAAACGACTTGTCCCAAGGCAGGAGAGGTATGTACTGGGGTGCAGTCTCTACCAGCTTTCCAAATGCGCGTGTTCGCTCCTTGTTGACCATGGCGACAAAGCCCTCCCATTCACCACGGATACCGTGAGGGTCGCGGTAGGTCTCGATGAAGCCAATGTCTGACTCGACCTGAGGCCCCTTGTCTTGGACCCATGCCATTTGGCTCTTCTTGAACGCCTGCAGTGAGCCACTGCGGAAGCTCTTGGAATACTCTTCCATCATCTGAACCTGGTTCTCATTGGCCGCGTATTTCTTTGCCTGTTCAATGTGATGTGCAATGGTATCCATCTCTCGGGAGTAGTCGCCAAAGACGAGCTTGACCTTTTTCCCGTCATCCATTGTCCATTCGCTTTCCTTCAAGTCGCGCTGGTCTGGTGAGGGGTTGTCGAGCGCCGAAGCGATGAGGACGTGATAGCTGCCATCCTTCTTGGCCACCCTGGTGTTCTCTGGAAGCAGGCCCTTGCTCTCAAGGAAATCGCTGACCTGGGCTATCTCTTGGTTGGTGATGTCGGGGCTGTCGGGGTAGTATGTCGAAACGTGACCTGCAGCCGGATAGCCCAGATGCAGCTTTGCAACGTCGCTGCCCACGAAGATGGAGTCTTTGAACTTTTCATACAGGGCTAGTGCGTCCTTGGAGACGGTGGCGAGGGCCTTCAGCTGGCGGGGCTCGAGTCGGGGCACAAACTTGGAGTCGCCAAAGGACTTGTAGTTGCCCATGTTGCCAAGGAACTGTGCCGCATAGTCGAGGTAGGCATCGAGCTCATTGGAGGCGAGGCCGGCTTCTTTGGCGAGAGCGGCGTAGTCGCCCTTTGTGTGTTTATGCAAGGCGACAATGAAATCGTAGATGTGCTCGGACTCGGGCGAGACTTGGCGAAGGACGATTCGCGAACCGGCAAAGCAGGCGCTGCAAGGCACATGTTAGTTGCCCGGCTACGGTAGTTTGATGCATTTCCACGGCTCACATGGAGAGATGGTGGGCGTAGAGCTTCTCCTTGTCGCTCAAGGCATCGAAGTGGGGTTTGATGGTCAGCGGCACAATCGTAGGCGGGCTGTCAGCCAGGTACTGTTTGAGCGTTTCCGACTCTATGGCTGCGGACATGGTGGCTACGGATGGACTGCAGTGGTGTTGATTTAATTACACACGTAGAGCAGGCGGAGCTCAAGGTGGCAGCTCGCGCTGTCGCGCACCCATGCATGGCGGGGCGCTAATGGGCTAATGCGGGGGCGGCTGACTATGGTGATGACTACACTTGCAAGGCTAAAACTACTACAACGGTTCTGGTAACGAGCATACTCGCCTATACACATGCATAAACCCGCGAAATCACACTACATCCGAATGCAACAATGAGCCAAGAGATGCTTGCACAGCACGCCATCAATCCGGGCCGAAGAACGGACGCATCGCCTCTCACCAGGTCAGGATCAGCCACGCGGCAATGCAAATTTGTCGTCCCCCCCGAGAACCTGCATGTCCCGACACTTGTTGTTATTCTCTAGGATATCTATAGATCCACGTGGGAACAGCGGTTCTATGTATACATGTCAGCTCAAGTGCGCCCTGAATGCCAAAAATAATCAAGTTTAATTCCGTCCCGACAATCAGTGCTGCCATGACGCAGTTCAGTCTCCCTCATCGCCTGCCGCATACCGGCAATCTTGAGAACTCATCACAGACATCCATCTCCAGAGGCGATTTCAGCAAAAAAAAACATACAACAGCGGGGATTCGCCAGTGGTCACCCACCTGCCTACTAACCAGCCGGAAAACTGCTTAACTAGCGAAAATCTGACGGGATTCTGTGCGATCAGCTTCCAATGGTCGTATGTGGCGGAAATTGGGAACTGAGGTGGTCAATTGTGCATTTGTTGCCAGGCCGACGCAGGTCTTGTGACTTGACAACATCTCACACACGGGCAAAAAACAACACCGGTAACTTGCAAGGAGAACTGGACCGGGATATAGGCTTCCTTGAATATTTGTCTTTCAATCATTACTCGTATATGAAACATTCCACATCTAGCTAGACTAACGCCCTCTGCGCTCGTAGGTGTTCTACCCAACAGCACTGCTGCAATTCATCTCTCTGCCACTTCCGCACTCGCGCGATTATGATTACTTCTCATGCAAGCATATCCTGCCTTGTACAACATTAGCTACTCGGCCTTTTCTGTCAGACACAAAGACACGAGTAACTTACAGTTTTGATGATGACTGGGGCGGTATCTACCAGTTGAATGAGCAAGGAACTTGGATGACGGTGCCAGCTGGTATAGAGTCCTTGTTGAGGATGACAAGCGTGTTGGCCTGCTGCAAAATATCGGCCGAGGTGCAAAAGTCGGCGGCGACGGCAGCCAGAGTGTCGTCTGCCTCAAAGACATATGCGCCATCGCCATCGAACGTGTTGCGGCGGCAGTCGCGTTTACGCACAGAGCATGGAACAATGAGGTTGATGCCTGCGGGAAGGTTGGCTGCGTAGTTGTCGAGTCTTTTGCTCAAGTCGGCAACCACGTCGGGCGTCGTGCAAAAGTCGGCGGCGACCCCGGCGAGCGTGTCTCCGGCGACCGTGTAGTACCATCCTTTGGACGCGTCTTTGGAGTCAGGTCTGCAGCCGCGGCGCAGAGCCTCTGCTGTGCTCAGCAGGGAGACGAGGGCGAGAACAATGTTGGCACGCATGATGGCTACTCCAAACACTCGAGTGGTGGTGGTAGACAAGGGTATGAGGAGTCGCGAATGATGGAGGGAAGAATGGTCTGGATCGGAATGGAAGGAAACCAAGCGATGGAAATCCTCGCAGGGAAAAATGCTTGGGCTTAAATAGAATCAAGATCAGGTGGCTGCCATATTATGGTAATTTCCCGAGCGATCTGACCAAGTACTTGGAGATGGCCCGAAACCATACAGGCCAAGACCCATGAGGCTCCGCTTCGGCTAAGCGCTAGACAACAATACCCGCTATATTCTAGAAAGAAACGAAGCAATTCGTATCTACTACGCCAAATGAGACCGAACCCCGTTTTCTCCTCCATCAGCAACTAGCCCTTCCAGACATCTGCCAATGCATGCTTAGTCGTAGCTTTCCTTTCCCTGCAAGATATCTATTGTAGCTCTGCCCTACAGAAAAGACGTATAGATTATTCGCATCATCAGCTATCAAATGAGACCGAGCAACTCAAGAAGAGGTAGGGAGAGAGAACTCTCTTTTACCGCGGACTACCTTTTAGTAGATAGAGCGCCTAGATATAGGCGTATTCCTCGGGCTTATGAGGGACTTTAGGCACTACACATAGCTGAGTGAGGAGAGTGCGCCATTTACTAGGAGCCTTGGTACGTTCAGAGCAGGGTTGGTTACGTCTAGAGCAGGGTTAGTACGTTCGAAACAGGGTTGATAAGCGCTAATTGTTCGTTAACGTGTGCCATCGGCTAATAGTCTAGTCCATGTAAAGCCAAACGTCTATGCTACTATATCTGATCTGTAGGTGCACGGGGCGCACCACGTTGTCTCGGTGTCTGTGAATTTGACGATCACGTGGCCTAAGACCTGGTGCTGGCACCGGCGTTAAGCAGCGTGCTCGTTGCGTGTCAGCGAACCGTAGCCGAGTAGCACAGTATCCGCTTACATATGAACCTAAACACTACTACGTGATATGTTTCTTATTTATTATTTCTTATTTACACCTTGGCCATGGTCTGCAAATACTGCTGGCTATGTGGGTAGTCGACATACCCTACTGGTGTCTTGGGCGTGTAAAACACACTGCGGTCGTACTTGGTCAGCGGCACACTTTCCTTGACCCGGAATACGAGGTCCGGGTTGGCCACAAAATACCGTCCAAAGGCGATAATGACATCGTAGGGTTTATATGTCTCGTCCACTGCCTGCCTGGCTGAATCCGGCAGAAAGCCGCCTGCAAGCATGACTGGAGTAGCATTGTTCCACTGCTCAATCATCCAACCCACAGTCTTTTGTCCTCCGCAGTCAGAATCATCATTGCCAGTGATGCGCGCCTCAATCAGATGGAGGTAGCCGAGCCCCAGCGGTTTCAACGCGTCGAGCACATAACTGAATGTCGGCTCCGGCTCGTCCATCAGCATGCCGTTGAAGTCGCTGTACGGGCTGAGACGCATGGCAGTTCGCTCAGCACCCACTGCAGCAGCTACTGCCTTGGTGACCTCGACATGGAACCGCGCCCGCTTCTCAATGCTCCCTCCCCACCCGTCTGTTCGTTGGTTGCATGTTGACTGCAAGAACTGATCAGGTAGGTAGCCATTCGCACCATGGATCTCAACGCCGTCAAAACCAGCCGCAATGGCATTCTTTGCTGCCGTCGCATATTCTTGTATTGTTGTCCAGATCGTCTGCTCGGTCATTTCCACGGGTGCTTGGTCCTGCGGCGAGACTGGGACGGCGCTCGCAGACACCATGGTCAGGCCTTCTTCCTGGACAACCTGGGCATTGGCGGTGCGACCTTGGTGCCAGAGCTGGCAATATATTGTACACCCCTTGGCGTGCACTGTGGCAGTGATTTCCTTCCAAGCCTCGATCTGCTCCTCGGACCAGATGCCCGGTGCGTTTCGACATCCAATAGCATTCCTGGAGACGATGGTAGCCTCGCTGACGATCAGAGTACCCGGTACACACGCTCTTTGCTCGTAGTACTCTGTTGACATGCTGTTAGCACGGCGCCCACTGAAACCGCAACAGTGGCATTTGCTGTACCTTTGCTGAGCAGTGTTGGCCGATGCTCATCGTCCATACGATAACGAGTCAGCGGCGCCATGGCTATACGATGGCCGAGCTCAAGTGGCCCTACTTTCAATGGCTGGAATAGGCGTGACATGGTCGTCTCTGATACTGTCATGGTGGAAAAGTCGCAAACTGCCCCATGTTCCCACAAGCAAGGCGGCCCATTATATAATTCTGCTGCTATCTCGCACGCCTCACTGAAGACATGGGCAGTCAACTTTGGTGTGGCCCATTACCAAGAAAAGTCTCGAATGGCGACAGATTGCTAGGGGTCTTCTCGGCGGCCAACGCCCAAAGTTTTACATGGCTTGCCACAATGCCGATAACTCGCCGATATCTCTCTGTTTGTCGATAGCCATGTGCGTCTGGAATACGAGCTCCACATGCCATGACGATAAGCGTTGGCGTGTGCGTAGGCCCAGCACCCGTCGGCTCAGAAGCTGCCGAAAACATGGTCGTTGTCGCGATGGCACTAATGCATCCCCCGCCTGCCTGTCGTCACACGTCTTCCTCCCCACCATCCGCCCACCACATGCAGGCCTACACATGGTACGCCTTGTGCTTTTCTTTTCCGTTGCAAGCTCCCTTCGGCTGTGGCGTAGTCGGCTGCCGACCCGCTCCCGGAACAAAATGTACTGCCAACTACACCGTCTCGCCCCGCTTGGGGGGAGGCGGTTTCCGAAGCCTACCTACACTTCACCTTGCATAACCGCCATGTCTGAGGCCGTCTTCTTCTATCCGTATGCATTTCTTCCGTCTCTTGACATGCTTGCACGCCGCATGACGACCCCGAGACAAGCCCACGCACCATCACGAACCAGCACGCCGCCGTCGACAACATGGACTCGACGCTCTGCACCGAAAAGGGCAATCCCCGAAGCCAGGACACTGTAAAAGAAAAGAGCGACGGCCAAGTTGAACCATGTCATTCAAGCACACCTGCGTCCAACTGTGACAGCCCAACATCCACATTGGCGGCCGAGCAAGACTGTGACGACGAAAGCGATGCGGCATCTATTGGCGGTCAAAGGAACACCATGACGTCTACTCAGCTCAGAATCGCAATCCCAGCGCTTTCCGTCTGCTTATTTGTGTCCTTCATCGACCAGACCAGTGTTTCAACGGCAACGCCGGCAATCGCTATTGATCTGCACACTGGAACTGCGACCTCGTGGATCGGCACCTCGTTCCTGATAGCTTCCACAGCGTTCCAACTCATCAACGGCCGACTATCAGATATTTTTGGCCGGAAAAATCTACTTCTCATCAGTCTGACCCTCATGGCTCTGGGTGATCTTGGCTGTGGGTTTGCGCAAACTTCGGTTCAGCTATTTGTGCTCCGTGCGATTGCGGGCATTGGCGGCGGCGGTATCAATAGTCTGGTCATGATCATCGTAAGTGATATTACTACATTGCAGAATCGCGGCAAGTATCAAGGTAAGATATTGTCCAATTACATCCACCACGACCTACTAAACGCTTCACAGGCTGGCTGGGAGCAGTCATTGCCTTGGGCAATGGCGTTGGCCCCTTTCTCGGAGGTGCTGTGGTCGAAGGAGCTACATGGCGATGGGTCTTCTGGATGGTACCCATGTTGGCCATTCCAACGTCCATGATTATTCTGTTCTTCTTGCCCTTGAAGCACCGATCTGGCGACTACCTCGAGAAAGTAAGAAAAATCGACTATGGCGGCATGGGGCTAAACATTGCGTCGACGCTCCTCCTACTCATACCCCTGTCCGGAGGCGGTGTTACGTATGCCTGGGCTTCCCCTTTCTTCATTGCCTGCACTGTTACGGGTGCTGTGTTGGCTGCGCTATTTGTGCTCTACGAATGGAAGTTTGTGGCTCTCCCCATCATGCCACTTCGACTGTATCGCGCGCCTCATGGCTGGGCACTCTACTTGCAAACATTCCTCATTGGGCTGGCGTATTTTGGTAATTTCTTTTACCTCCCAATTTACTTTCAATCCGTCCTGCGATACTCGCCTCTGGTCTCTGGCGCCTTGATCCTACCCGTGGTCATCACTTCTTCGTTTGCTTCGATCGCGTCTGGCCAGTACATGAATCGAGTCGGCAGCTACATGCATTGCATTCTTGTGGGCTTTGCCCTCTGGACGCTTGGAAACGGCCTTACCCTCGTTTTCGACCGGAATACCCATCTGGCGGTACTCATTGTTGTCTTGATTGTGGAAGGCATTGGCATTGGCCTGACGCTTCAACCCACGCTTGTGGGCCTGTATGCAAACGGTCGTAGTGAAGATCGCGCCGTGACAACCGGGTTGCGCAACTTTATTCGCACCATTGGCGGAGCGTTTGGTCTCGTCATCTCTGGTGTCATTCTGTCTAATACACTCAGTCGGGACTTGTCACGGCAGCGCTTCGTGTCCGAGAGCTTGATGAGCCAATTGACTTCCTCGACATACGATCTCGATCAGTTTGGTCTCTCGCAAGACCAGCAGGACGAGGTTTTCAACGTATACATGCGTGGTCTGCATTACATATTCATCTTCTTCACATCCTGTTCGGGCATGGGCCTACTTTTAACATTTTGGGTTGGAAACACGAGCTTAAAAGCGCCAAAGAAGGTGGATGAAGAAGCAGTGGCTGTAAATGCAGATGGAAATGAGCCCGAGTCACAAAGCATACAAGGCCAAGAGGTGGAGACCAAGGTAAACACTTTTGACGAGGATGCAAAATTAAAGGAGGGCACCAAGAGCCAGAGCGGGTCATTGTAGGGAAAAGTAACACTTTGCTAAGAACATGGATTCTGGCAACAAACACTTTTAGTAACTTATGCGCAAGGTCTAACGACTTCGATCGCTTAGCGAATACCCTGGGGTAATAGCAGCATGACTCGCTTCAATGACTGGGCTAGATGCCAAGATGCAGGAACTCGTGCGGCATGATCACTAATGAATCCAAGGTGGCATGTGGAGCTACCATATTGTGATTGTCGCCGATTTCTACGACATGCTCCTCTTACCAGCCCAAGACAGGTGGGGGGCGATACGGCTTCACACCGAGGCAATCAATCGGGCGCGTACAGGATTGACGCCGGGCACACCAAAGACAACATCTTGTTAGCAATCCACAATATATCGTCTTGTGGGGAGCGTCGGGGTAAGTTGCACGAGCCAATGTAGAGGCGCTGATAAGACAGGGATTTGGTATGGGGCCACACCAGGCCCAAGTAGGAGAGTATCCAGAGACGCCTCCGGGGCCATCTTGTCCTTGCGGATCCTTCCAAGCCGATAGCCTCTCCGATAACACGATAACATGATGCCGGATCGACACCATGGCCGCCGCGTCCTTGGAGTGCCATCGTGAACGCCGGCTCGACGAGGCATGTTACCGTCACGGGTGACGACGGCCGAAGCCTTGCTTCCCCCCCGCGGGCTCTCAAGTACTTATGCTGGCTACGCTAGACTTGCAAAGACATCTCAATTAAACACCTGCATCTCGTAATTCCCTTTGCATACCTTGGTCTTGTAACCGCACATACTCAGTTGGCCCGCCATGCCTGAAGTCTACGCCGCACCGCCCGACTACGCCTTTCCCCGCGAATTCAAGGGCTACGGCGAAACGGGGCTCGAGGGCCTGAAGTGGCCCAACAATGCCAAAATCGCAGTTTCATTCGTAATCAACTATGAAGAGGTAAAATTTTCAAAATGCTCCAGGCATCTTAAATCGGGGTTGCTGATATACATACAATGCAGGGCGGCGAGCGCTCAGTCATGAAAGGCGATGGCGTATCTGAAATCAGTCTGCGCGAGTACCCAGCGCAGCACCGCATCAACGAGCGCGACTACAGCGGAGAATCCGAATTCGAGTACGGCTCGCGCGCAGGCTGGTGGCGCCTGTTCAAGCTATTCAACGCATACAAGATGAAATTCACACTGTACGCCGTGGGCTCTGCCGTGGAAGAGCAGCCCGAGGCAGTGCAGCGCTGCGTCGAAGAAGGCCACGACATCGCGTCGCACGCCTACCGCTGGATCGACCACGCCAATCTGTCCGTCGAAGCCGAAAAACAGCATATCCGCGACGGCATTACCGCGCTCAAGAAACTGGCGGGCTACGCGCCAAAGGGCTGGTACTACGGCCGGCCCTCGCCGCAGAGCAGAGCCCTCATCCCGCTCGTCTACGAGGAAATGGGTGAAGAGCTCCTCTGGGCCAGCGACACCTACGCCGACGACGTACCGTACTGGACGGACCTGCCACACGAGCGCTCCAGCGCAAACCCCAAAGGCTGCCTGATGCTGCCGTACAGCTACGACTGCAACGACTTCAAGTTCCACACGCAGGGCACTGGATTCCGGAGTCCAGGCGCGTTTTACGAACACATCAAGAACGCCTTCGATGTCCTGTACGAGGAGGGCGAGGCTGGTGCCCCCAAGATGATGACGATTGGACTGCATTGCCGCATCATTGGGCGCCCTGGTCGCTTCAAGGCGCTGCAGGATTTCGTCAAGTACATCTCGGAGAAGGAGGGCGTGTGGGTGGCGACACGGACGCAGATCGCAGAGGCGTTTCGAGAGCAGTTTCCGTATAAGAAGGGGCAGCTTGCATAGATTGTTGAATTACATAGATAAATGCATTATGATTTCACGTTCACGTTCAAGCCTTACGCACCAATAACATGCCTTACGATGCTGCAAAGTTACTAGGTGATGATTCGTTTTATTTTAGTTTGACTAGATCATCGATAGCCGCCAAAACTCCACTGATTCACATCCAACATGCCGTGTCCATCCGTCTGCATCGCAGCGTCCTGGATGGGATCGACGCCGTAGAATCCCGGGCCACTTTCATACGTCGTCCAGCTCATTTCGGCCTGAGCGTGGCCAAACCCATCGACTCTCATGGCAGTGGCATTCAGCACGGGCGTCGTGTCATCGCGCACCATTTCGTTCCACATGCGCCAGCCCTGCCAGCCTCCGGGGGCTTCTTCGTCGACCTCCATGAAGGCTTCTTTTACCGCATCCGTCACCATGCGGGATAAGGTGGGTTTGCTGCCGCGTCGTGGATTCGAGGGCGGTTCCTCGTAGCTTTGGCGCTGGCCCTGCGAAGACGACGAGCCCTGTAATGCTGGTTCGGCGTCGACGTCGAGTTGCAGCGGTTGCGAGCCATTTGCCTGCAGTGCTGTGCTCGCCGTGGCATTCACAACAGTCTTGAACAGGCTTCCAGACAGCGCATCGAAGATGTCGCGGTACTTGACGGCGCCAGGCCACTTTTCGCCGAAGATAGTCAGGATCTGGGAGCATGCGCGCGTGGCCTCGAGGACGTCGTAGGAAAAAAGGGAGCGGTCGCGCCAGATGCAGTAGACGAGCGTCAGACCCGTTACAAAGCACGAGTGCAGCGATATCATGGTATAGGTCAAGGTGCGGTTCTGGCTGAGCCGCTTGTACGCATTGCAGACACAGGCTGCGGAGCGAGCGCACGTGACGAAGCGTGCGTCGGTGGTGTCGAGTGTAGGCAGGAAGACGGTGAAGAGGAAGAGCGTTGCCTTGTGATACTGGACGCTATAAAAGTCGCGTGCATCGAGGTATGCGCTCTCCGGGTCGTACATCCACGTAATCTTGTTCTCCTGCTTGGGTGTCTGCGGACAGGTCCGGAGCCATTCGTCCAGATCAGAACGGATTTTAGCCATCTTCTGGTCAAGCTTGGCTCGCTGTTCGAATGTGCCGCCAAAGACGTCTCGGTCCACGCGAAACACGGTCTTGTGGATGCGAGACTGGATCTGGTCGAGCTTGATCATGTGGATGAAAGGCTCAATGTTGGACCACTGGGCCTCGTGTGGATCTGGAGCTTCTTGATGCGTCAAAGTCCAGAATTCAGGACTTGTGCTGGGCAACTTGGAAAGTCAGTCACTGGCTTGTTTATACAGTTTGGTATACGCACCTCTACGTTAATGTCTCGATCCGCAATAGCAAAAGCACGACCAAGCACAATGCTAGTAGTTCGATCGAGACAATAGCATGCCCAGAATGCTCGATGGCGAAGCTCGGCATCTCTTGCTTGCTGGGGCGAGCATATGGAGCTTCTCTTCCTATGCAGGCCCATCTCGATGCAAACCGATGTAGCATACCGGATCTGAGACCAGGCACCTGCTCCGTAAGGAGACCGCTGGCCATGGACCCCAAGCAGAATGAGAAACTGGACAGTCGCAAGGTTGTGTTGATCCAGAATATAGTCCATTGGCTCTGTTGCCGCAACGAGATGGTGCTAGACTTGTGAGAATAACGCAACATGGTTTGGTTGGGTTGACTCACTTCATAGTCGACACCGCATGGCTTCCGCGTCAAAGACAGAAAGCGAGCTGTGATGGAATAGATGAGGTGGAAGATGCTGCGCTCGATGATAGACAAAGCACCCTGTGTGTACTGCTTTTCGAAAAGCTTTGTATAGACCACACGATCTAGCAATGGCCAGCGCGTATGTATACGCTCGAAGAACACGTCAAACAGCATGCGTGCTTGCTGGTGGTCAGGAAAATCGACGACATTGTCATCGGAATGTGCAGACTCTGGCGGTGGAGGTGGTCTCGCGGTGCTGTAAGTAGGACTCGCCTGAGCTGCAGGCCGAGTGACTGCCCTCTTCCGGGAGCTTCGAAAGATGGATGACTGTATGATGCGAGCAATAGTAGCACCAGAGCTGGAGCCGACATAGTACGGTTCAGACGTCGTATCAGTGGTCCCGGATGCACATAGAGAGAGGTAGGCTACGCCGTCGACGAGCGAGGTCCTCTCCTCACCTTCAAGCTCATCGGAAAAGTACTCGTCTCGCGACTCACGACGCGATCCAGTCGACGGCGGTTGACAAGCTGGAGGCCCTTCAGTAGCCGTCGAGGAACCATTGTGGAGTGGCTCTGTGCCGTTTTCATAATGATCTGATGCATGGTCTGGCAGACGGGCCTCCAAAAAGGCGATTCGCTCTTCCAGGGCATTAATATAACTGACCAGTCAGATTGGCATACCCGCATGTAAAGACGCAATAAAGACGTACACCGACTTGCCGCCCGGATACTGCGGGCGGAGGGTCCTCTCGTATGCACACGCTACACCAGCGCGCTCACACGATCTGCATACTGGCCGCACACCGTCGCACTACAAGAGGCTTAGTCCATATGTAACTATCTGACCCAGGCCTGACTGACTGACGTACTCGCTGCTTTCGTCGCTTGCATCTCTTGCAGGCCAATGCCACGCGGGGCTTCCTTGCTGCAGACGCCTGTGGGCCAGTCTTTGTCGTACTCGCACTCGAAGACACTGGGCCGTTTGGTGGAGCAGACACTGCGTCGCCCGAAGAGGGGCTCAGGGGGCTGTCGGGATGGGGTTGCGACATGGCCGCGTCGTCACACAACCACAAAGTGTAGTCGAAAGCATTGCGAGCACGAGTGCCCACCCCAGACAGAAGCAATCCGGGTCCATTGTGCTCCATGTGCGGGGGGTGGGCTGCTCAGAACAAGCGGGTCGAAGGAGCCGATGTGCTTCTTATCGTGAGGCTGCCCAGAGTGGCCAAGATAACGTCGTCATGTGATGTTATCTCAGGCGCTCATTGCCAGATCGGAAGCATCTGGCGATGCGACTAGAACGACGTCGGGAAGCGTGCTGGGCCCGCCTATCTACGCCCCTGTTCTTTATCGCATCTTGGGGCTCCCAAACAAGGCGTCGGCGTGCCTGGCCTGCTCGTGGCAACATGCTACATCGGCTGGAAACGCGCCGACAGACTTGCCGCTCACGGCTTGGCTGCCTCTGCTTACCATTTGCGTGGCCTGCGTGAACTGGCTCGATGCAGACAAAGGCGGGTCAATTGGCATATGAAGCCATGGGCCGTCTATACAAACACCAACCACTACCAGACGGCCTTTACGAAGAAGCGTCGGTCCAGCCAGGCCAGCCAACAACCAACCCACCATGGGCAGATTCGAAATGCCGAGCAAGCAGCGAATGACTGCGCCCTTTGCCTCAAAGGAAGCATTCGTCGATTTCCTCCGCTCGCCTCGTTCCAACGACGGTACCGCCCCAATTGGAGACGAGCGATGGTCCAACAAAGACTTGGAGCCAACGCCCGTCCAGCAGAGGACGTGGACGTGGTACAGCTTGCCCCTGTACTGGTTCTCTAACCAGTTCTCTCTTGTGGGCTGGAACACTGGATCCTCGCTCATAGCCGTTGGCCTGGTATGTCGTTCACCAGGAGCCAGTCCCGCGCCGACTAACAGCCTCTGCAGTCATGGCAGCAATCCTTCGTCTCAGCATGCGTCGGTTCGTTCCTTACGGCCATTATAGTCGTGCTCATGGCTCGTCCGGGTGCCAAGTATCACATTGGATTGTAAGACACTGCCTGTGCGGATTCCAGCTCTCCACTGACCGTCTGCAGTCCTGTCCTGGCACGCGCTACCATGGGCATGTACGGCTCCTACTTCTTCGTCTTCATCCGAGCCATCGTGTGCATCATCTGGTACGGCATCCAGACCTTCTACGCCGGCAATCTTTTGTCTGTCATGCTGCGCTGCATCTTTGGCAGCTCGTGGGAAAACTTCCATAATGCGCTGTCTCCTGCCGCCAGCGTGACGTCGAAGCAGCTGCTGGCCTTCTTCATGGCCTGGCTCATGGAGTTTCCCTTCATGTGGATCCACCCGAGCCGCATCAACTTTGTCTTCACCATCAAGGGCGTCATTATGCCCATCGCAGCCTTTGCCGTGTTTGGCTGGTGCATGGTCAACGGCGGCGGCCTCAGCTCCATATCGCTTGCCTCCAAAGGAACAAAGACTTCGATTGCAGCCGTCCCCACCGGCTGGAGCATCATGGCTGGCATCAACACCATTTTCGGTGCCCTGTCGCCTATGCTCGTCAACCAGCCCGATCTGGCTCGCTACTGCAAGAAGCCGCGTGACGCCGGTGCCCTCCAGGGTGTCTCTGTCTTCGTGGCCGCCGTCGTCGTCTTCTTCCTCGGCATGGCGTCGACAACCTCGATGCAAGCCGAGTACGGCGTTGCATACTGGAACATCTGGGATCTCTTCGACGCCATCCTCGACCACCACTTTGGCGCGGGTGCGCGTGCGGGCATCTTCTTCCTGTCTCTGGCCTTTTACTTTGGCGTCTTCGCGACAAACTTTGGCGCAAACTCGATCCCCTTTGGCTCAGACATGACGGGCCTGTTCCCCAAGTGGCTGACCATTCGCCGCGGACAGATTCTGTGTGCGCTTCTCGGCGTCGTCGTCCAGCCATGGCAACTCATGGCTAACGCCTCAGCCTTCCTCAGGTAAGCAAATCCTCTACAGCGGGTTTTCCACGCCCCAAACATATATGTACTAACCGTCGAGCAGCTTCCTGGGCTCTTACAACATCTTCATGGCACCTCTCTGCGCCGTCCTAGTTGTCGACTACTTCATCGTCCGCAAAGGCAACGTCTACGTGCCCTCGTGCTACGACGGCAAGAAAACAGGCCTGTACTGGTTCTGGTCAGGCATCAACTGGTGCGGCGTCGTCGCCTGGCTGCTGGGCACTACCATGGGCATCCCCGGCCTCATCGGCCAGTACCAGCCGCAGATCATCTCCATGGCGGCCCAGAACATGTACCGCATGGGCTGGCTGCTGACCTTTTTCGTTGCAGCCGCAGTCTACTACTTCACTTTCCTATTCATCAAGCCCCGTGTTTTCCCGTACGGACGCGAGAGCACGCCGTTTGAGTGGGAGTGGCTGGCGAACGATGGCCGCGAGGGTTTCTACGACGGAGACAGAGATGGCGGTGAAATATATGTCGCGGCCACGCCGCCCATGACGGATGGAGGCGAGGATGTCGAGACGGGAGCAAAGTCGCCAAAAGTAACGTATTAATATGTACAGAACGAAATATCAGACTGCAAATGGCGTATGATTTAATGAAAATTGATAATTTTTTCCCTCGAAATTTTTTTTTTGATTTCATCCAACACACGCGTAACAACCCGTTCGTAATCACGACCGTTTCCAAAGATTCCATACGCCTAGGCATGAGAAGAACCACCCCACAACGCCTAGCAGATATGCTGCCCCGACTATCATCTCTTGTCCGATCAGCTGCCGCTCTCGGAATCGACTATGCCGAAAAGCGGGCCTCCCGTTATCGCGCCAGCGTCGCACTGAATCGCGCCAACCATTGGGCAAAAAATCGCCATTGCCGATGGCATAGTCATAGTTGCCCCTCCCCTTTGACAGCTGCCTATCACGGATGCGGCAGACTTGCGGCCGAAGGGCAGATATTATGACATGCATGTTAGTCCAACCATGTACGTACGTATGTATGTATGTATGTACCACGTGGGAAACGTGTTTAATATTTAGAACAGGAGCGCAAATCCCTCTACACCTAATCTCGTCGGACTTGAATTGACCTTTTTTTTTACACAAAACATGGCTTCTGAGCTCTATCGGTTGACAGCTACCGAGGCTGCGGCCAAGATCAAACAAGGCGATGTCACAGTGGAAGAGTATGCAAGGTCGCTGTTGAAGCGCATCGAGGCGCGAGATGAGGCTGTTCAGGCGTGGGCGTATCTCGACCCCGAGTATGTCATCACGCAGGCAAAGGCTCTAGATGCTGTGCCGAAAGACGAACGCGGTCCTTTACACGGCGTAGCCATTGCAGTCAAGGATGTCATTTACACCAAAGGTTAGTAGTATTGGATCAAAGAGGTCTGTCTTTGGCTGGATTGCGCTGATGTCGCAGATATGCCCACGCAATTCAACTCGCCGATATACACCAACGATGCGCCAAAAGTAGATGCCGGGTCCATTGCCATACTGCGCCGGTCCGGGGCTCTTATTTTCGGGAAAACCACAACGACCGAGTTTGCGGCTACTACAAGAGGCCCAAAGACGCGCAACCCGCACGACCCAAACCGTACGCCTGGCGGCTCTTCGTCTGGGTCTGGGGCAGCAGTGGGCGACTTCCAAGCACCGATTGGTCTGGGCACGCAGACAGGAGGCAGCATGATCCGGCCTGGCTCGTACAGCGGCATTTACGCCCTCAAGCCGACGTGGAACTCGATCACGCGCGAGGGCCAAAAGATTTACTCGTTGATTCTCGATACGCTGGGCCTTTATGCGCGCAGTGTATCCGATCTCGAGCTTCTTGCTGACGCGTTTGCTGTCCAAGACGATGATCCCACCCCGGCAAACTTCACCGTCAACGGAGCAAAATTTGCGCTGCTCAAAACCATGGTGTGGCCAGATGTTGGGAGCGGCACCACTGCCGCACTCGACAAGGCTGTTTCCCTGCTGCGAGCCCACGGGGCCCAGGTCGAGGAGATATCGCTTCCAAAGCATCTCGACGAGCTGCCGTCGTGGCATGCCACAGTGCTGAACTCGGACGGCCGCACAGCGTTCCTGCCCGAGTACACCGTGGCAAAAGACCAGATTTCCGAGCAGCTCGTCGGACATGTAGACAACAAGGCAAAGATTTCGCGCAAGGCACAGCTCGAGGCGTTTGACAAGATCGCTGCAGCACGGCCGGTAGTGGATGAGCTTTTGGGCAAGTATGCGGCGGTGCTCACACCGAGTGTACCGGACGAGGCGCCGCTCGGCATCGAAAAGACAGGCAGCGCGGCATTTTGCTTGATTTGGACGGTAAGTTGTGGTTTTGCCCTCGGTCTACCCGAGCCTTTACTGACTGCAAGCAGGCGCTACACACACCCGTGGTCAACGTGCCGGGGTTCAAAGGCGAAAACGGCATGCCAATTGGTATCTCGCTGGTTGCGCCGCGGTATCATGACAGGCGGCTGCTGGCAGTGAGCAAAGAGGTTGGCAGGATATTCGAGGCTGAGGGTGGGTGGAAGGCTTCGGTGTAAATATTGACTTGTAGAGCCGCGTCCTATTCTATAGCGTGCAGTGGAATTGAGCGTGAATTATGGTAATTGCTAAATTGGAGAATTCCTAAGTGCCTGTTAGGAAAGTATGATGGAGAGAGAGAGAAAGAGAGATGTTGTGCCAGGTATGATATCACACGTCGAGGTGCGGTGATTATGTAAGGCGGCGGTGGGTGATGGCATGCCATGATGAGCATCGCGTATCCGTCACCACCACCTTGCCGCTACCAACCCGCCATGGCGTCGCGCACACGGCTGGCCGCCAATGCGGCTTCCACGCTGATACGAAGCTCACGGCCGCTCGCAACCCCCAGAATATCGCCGCTCGCCGCACTGGCAACATGGTCTGCCCGCCACAGCTCGCAGCTCAGCTCGCAGGCGGCGGCCAACCCGACAAGTGTCTTTTCGTCGTTTGGCCCGCTGGCCTCGCAGGCTGGGCCGCCGTCGTACTTTTCATCGTCCCACAGGCGGCTGCCGACCAACACCATCATCCGCTTTGTGCCGCAGCAAACGGCATGGATTGTCGAGCGCATGGGCAAGTTCAACCGCATACTCGAGCCCGGCCTGGCCATCTTGATTCCCTTCATTGACCGCATCGCCTACGTCAAGAGCCTCAAGGAAAATGCCCTCGAGATCCCCAGCCAGAGCGCCATCACGGCCGACAACGTGACGCTCGAGCTGGACGGCGTGCTGTACACACGCGTGTTCGACGCATACAAGGCCAGGTAAGCGCCCGTGGCCACGCCCGGCTGGCCGAATGCTAACGTGAGATGTAGCTACGGCGTAGAGGACGCCGAGTACGCCATCTCGCAACTTGCGCAGACGACGATGCGTTCGGAAATCGGGCAGCTTTCTCTCGACCATGTGCTCAAGGAGCGTGCCAACCTCAATGCCAACATTACCGCCGCCATCAACGAGGCCGCACAGGACTGGGGCGTCACCTGTCTGCGCTACGAGATTCGAGACATCCACGCGCCCGAGCCCGTCGTCGAAGCCATGCACCGCCAAGTGACTGCCGAGCGCTCCAAGCGAGCCGAAATTCTCGAGTCAGAGGGTCAGCGGCAGTCTGCCATCAACATTGCCGAGGGAAAGAAGCAGTCAGTCATTCTGGCGTCAGAGGCTTTGCGGGCAGAGCAGATCAACATGGCCAGCGGAGAGGCCGAGGCCATCCTGCTCAAGGCCCAGGCTACAGCCAACGGCATTGATGCGGTTGCTCGATCCATTGCCCAGGGCGAGGGTGCCGCACAGAACGCCATCTCGCTGTCTGTTGCTGAAAAGTACGTCGAGGCTTTCGGGAACCTGGCCAAGGAGGGCACAAGCATCGTGGTTCCGGGCAACGTGGGCGACATGAGCGGCATGATTGCCAGCGCCATGGCCGTCTACGGTAACGTCAGCGCCACGCAGGCAAAGGCTCAAGCCTCGAAGCTGGTGCACGGTAGCCACGCCCACAATCAGGCCAGCGACAAGATTCAGGAGCTCCAGAGTAAGCTGAACGAGGCCGAGGGCGGGGCCAGCGACGTGCACCACGAGATCAACAGGGCCATGGACCAGCGGCTGAACTAGCGGTAGTCAGCAAGTGGCTGCGGGACGGGGCAGAACAGGCACGAGACACGATTGTACATTATACCAAGCTGTATAACTAGCATTGCATCTGCATGATTGGACACGGCTATGAAAATATGGGATACTCATCGTTGCATGCACACGTCTTGATCAACCATGACATGTATACACACGCTCAGGCCAGCCGTTGCACAACCTCTGTAATCAACGTAGCCATCTGATTTCCGTCCCTCCAAATAAAATCATGCGTCCCCCGTAAATCCCGCACGTTGAGCACTCGGCGGCCCTCCCTCCGCACCTCGTCCTCTTCATCCCCAGCCTCCATGACAATGCTCCAGCCCTCGCGGTCCAGCGCAACACACATGACGTCGCGCTGAGCGCGCTCCACAAGGTCATCCTCATAGCTATGACACATGACCAGCAGCTTGCTCTCAGGCCACTCCTGCACGCCATAATGTCCGGACACGGGGGATACCGCGAGATACAATTGCTCGTTGTGGGGGCCAAACGCGCCGGCGACAAGGGCCTTGTACATGTCGACAAAGTGCGGCGGACACGCGGGCGCAGCGTGGTTTTTGAGTAGCAGCGGGATGTTGTAGATGCCTTCGAGCAGGATGAGGGCTTCGGGGCCTACAATGCCGGTTTGCTGGAGCGATTGCTCAAGGCCCATGGCGCTGACGAGTTGGAGCAGCAATGTTGCGCCGCAGGAATGGCCCACGCCTATCCAGCGCTTGGCGCCGTGTTCGCGCTGCAGATATGCAAGTGCGTCGCGGACATCGCGGACGTGCTGTGGGTGGTGGACGCTGCGCTCTGCGTCGTCGGGTGTGCTTGGGTCTGTTGCGTGGGTGGGGTGCGGCGAGAGGCGGTAGTTGATGCTGGCGATGCCGGCGAGGCGCTGCAGCGTGGGTGCGTGCGAGGGCGAGGTGCTGAGGGTTGAGAGCGTCGGCAAAAAGCACTGCGAGTTTTGCGCTGGGTCGCGCCAGGCGCCGCCGTGGAGGTAGATGACCCAGAGGCCTGACGAGTCGGCATTGCTATTGTCGCTGGAGCGCAGCCAGAGGTCGACGGTGCGGAGATAGCCCGCGGGTTGCGTGTATGGCACCGCGGCGAGGTACTGGGGGAAGCCGGGGACGTCAGATGTCATTGTTTCTTTTTTTTTTACCCGGGTTGTCGGCGTGCCTGGGGCAAACAGATGTTCAGTGTTTCATGCGGCGGGGTACGCAATGTTTGGCGGGGGAGGGGGAGGGGGAGGGGGAACGCCGAGGATTGCTGACTCCCCTTCCCCCAACGGCGCCGCACTAAAACACTAAAACGCTGGTACCAGTTCGCGTGGCGTGCTGCAGGGCAAGCAGAGTTTGAACTTTATTGTATTCAATTGTTTTTGATTCGATTCATCTCGTAATACTATGGTGCATTGAATACCAAAACGATGCGGTAAAAAAAAAACGTGGCTGGCAGCTCCTCAATAGCCGCTGGTCCAGGTATAGGTGTGTAAAGACATTAATCCAATCAATCAATAAGCACATGCCAGTGCTAGACTCCCGAAAACGTTTGTTGCGGTGCGACTAACAGCGCAAATGCTAAATGCAAGGGCCCAAGGTATCTTAACGGCATTACATGTCCTAAGCAAAAAAAAAGTCTCTCCAAGAAAAAGTCAAAAAAGAAGCGTGACAAGAATTAAGCCTGCGTTTACAGGAGAGCGGCCATGAGAGCACCGAAACCGACAAGGCTACCGGCAGCAGCCTTGACGTTGGAGGCGGCACCAGTCTTGTCGGGACGGTTGGCACCAGTGCGGCTGGCAGAGGCGCCAGAGCCAGAAGCGCCAGAGCCAGAAGCACCCGAAGCACCGCTGCCGGTAGCGCCAGCGCCCGAGGAGGTGGGAGAGGCGACAAGAGCGACGGTGGTGCTGTTGTTTGCGCTGACAGTAATGGTGCGGGTCGAGTTGACCAGGGAGCCGGTGCCGGTGCCAGCAAGCGTCAGAGTGTGGACGCCAGGGCCAACAGCAGGAATGTCAGCAGGGGCTGGCTGGGCCGTGACAACAGGAGGGATGCTGGTGAAGACATTGGGCTGAGGAGGGATCGAGGTGTCAACCGAAGGCATGCCAGTCACAACGCCCAGGGAGTTGGTCTGGGTGGCGAAGGCAGTCTGGGGGAAGGCGTCGATGGATGTGGAGCCACCCTGGTCACCATGTTAGAGCGCGGCCTCGAGAGAATTGCGATGCACAGAGAACACGTACCTGGGCCGAGGCAAGGGCGAAAGCAGCCGCCGAGACGTAGATGGAGGAGCGCATGTTGGCGTTGTGTGGTCTTGTGTTGTGATGTTTTGCTAGGCGATGACGGGCGTGGGAGCGGGTGTCAGTGGCGGGCGATGGATGTCAAGCCGGGCGGTGGGTATGTAGCGATGGAGCGAGATGGGATGAGAAGAGTCCTGAGCTGGCCAGCCGCGACAGGCCCTCCTTTTATTGCCATGATTGCTCGTCGGGCGGTGGTAGGGGAGCAAGAATGCGGGCTAGCCATGGCTGCGAGCCCGCGCCACCGTGCCCAGGCAACCCGCCAGCCCCGTCCTAGGCCCAAACGGGCGCTCCGGCTGCCTGAGCCGCGCCTAGTGCCCTGGGCCGCCAATAATAGTCCCGTTTGGGGGCAGACATGTTTTTGCGCCCGACACGGATTTTATTGCCTCGACAAGTCGGACCCCCGTCGCCGGCGCGGATCGCCATATCGTACAAGTCAGCACGAGGTACATGTGCCCCTGCGCGCCCTGCTGCGAGGGCAATTGGCCTCGTCGACGTCGCTGTCGTCGCATTCCAGCGTGGTTCCGCCGGGACCATGGGCAGAGCCCGCGTCGACAGCGCGCGTGATGCTGCGCTGGCTGGCGCTTGCATACCGCGAGTCTCGTCCCAGCCCTCTCCCAGGTTTCAGCCATTCCAGCCTTCTCAGCCATCTCTAGTGCCAGCAGCCGTCGTCGTCGTCGTGCTCCCGCAGAAACAGACCAGGTTCCCGCAGAAACAATGCAGAATCCACCGCCTGTCGTCATTGTCCATGCCGTTCTTCGCCAGGCCCGCCATCGCCTCCACTTTCCATGCCTTTCTTTTTTTCCTTTTTTTGCACTGGTCAAACGTCCAACGGCCGCCCCTTCTCCTGCTTCCCCAGCCTTTTGGTGCCTTACCGCTGCACACAGGCCCTCTGTAGGGACTGCCCTTTTCCACGTGCACAATCGATACCACCACGGCCATGGCCGCTGTGCAGCACAAAGGGCATTGTTGCAGCACATCTCATTACGCGTCCTCGAGAGTGCTGGCCGGCTAAAATTAGGCCCGTCGGCGTCATCTCGTGTGCATGTGCTCGTACACAAAAATTGAGTGGGTTGCACCCGCAGGGGGGCTGCGCAGGGGGGCTGGGAGCGGAATCGGGGGCTGCTGCTCATCTGGCCTCGGGTTCGCGCCTAAGCGAAATGGCTGCATGCCGTTGCGAGACGGTAGAATATTGACGGTGTCGTCTTGGCCAGCCTCACCGTCCCCTGACCGACACGGGACTTGCTCTCAAAAGGCTGCTGCTCCGGGCAGGCAATCATGCCTTTGCAATGCGTGTCGTCTCGTAGAACACGTCCCGGCCCATACGCCAAACAAGAAGGCTGGTCTGGCCCATCCCATGCGCCTCCACTTTGGCGTCCTTCCCAACCTCACCAGCCTCCGCCAGCGCTACCAGTGGGCCTGTCTCACCAACGTTGCATTGCCGTGCAGGCGCAGTGGCGGGCGTAGGCAGGCATAGCCGCTGAGCGCATACCGTCTTTTTTGGTTCCCAGCTTTGCTCAGCAACACGTCCATTGGCCATGGACACTGACTGTCGTTTCCACTTGCTTTTTCCTTCTTTTTGCATCGGCCCCTAGAGGCGTTCCTTTGCCTCTTGCATCGGCTGCTTCACCCACCAGAACCCCGCTCAATAGGTGCCCTATGCTAAGTCGTCTCTTTCGTGCAGTGCTGTGTTGTCGTTTGCCATGACGGGAAAACGAATGTGGTGGAGCAGATAAACAAACGAGGGTTACGCTTTGCCGAGACGACAACACAAGACTCGACAATGGAAACGACGATCCGTGTCGTGGCTTGACCCCATGGGGCTGGCGTGCACGTGGAGGCTGGCCAATCAACATGAGGGTCCAAGCTATAGTACAGCATTCGTGTAGTGCCACAGCCACTTGTGCAAACCAGTGCAACTAGAATCAAAGTAAATGCGCTGCTTCCTACATGTACCTATGCAGTGTTTCAGGTTTGTTAGAGAACAAAGCCAAGTATCATACTTCACTTTTTCGCTCCAAAAGCAAATACAACTGCCCATTTTACATCTCGGGAGCATTTGAAACAAACAGAAGACACAACAACGCACACACCACATGGTTTCATATCTAGGTAGAGAAGAGCTTCGTATTCCGAATGGTGGTCCATTACAAGGGTATGGGATATCTACAATAAAAACTCAAGCCGTGGACACAGCGAACAAGCCCCACGTCACAAGACCAACGACTACTACACCTTTCAGACTACTCGCTATCGTCTGCGAGAAGCTTGGCGTAGTCGTCTGCAGAGGCAAAAGTCGGCAGGTTCTTGAGCTTCCTCTTCTTGCTCTTGCGCCCGTCCTTGTCCTTCTTCTCGCCATCCACTTCGTCTGCCGCGTCATCCAACTCAATGTCGACGGGAACGTCGGCGTCGCTGTCCATGAAGGCGTCCTCGTCGTCAAGGTCAAAGTTTTCAAAGTCATCCTCGTCGTCGTCGCCCGAGTGCTGACCCCCAACATCCTCGTCATCGCTGCCGAGATTCAGCTCAACTCCTCCATCCATGCCACCCGCCTCGTCGTCACTCATCATGTCGTCCATGTCAAAGTCACTGAGATCGTCGTCGTCGCCACCGTCGCCTTCAACTTCTGGACGGCTCTTGACAAGTGCCTTCCAAATCTCTTCATCGTCAGCGCTATCCTCACTGTCATCCCTCTTGCGATCCTTCTTCTTGGTCTTCTTGTCCGCCTGCTTGGCTTTGCCTGCTTTCTCAAAGTACGTGTGGAAGAAGACTTCATCGTCACGCACGTCGTCGACCTTGCGACGCCAGAACTGCTCAGAGTTGAGTGGGTCGTGGCCCCGATCGCCGTCGCGCGTGGTAATGAGGTACGACGCAGACTTGGAGGTGCCAGCCATGGGCTGCATAATCGATGAGCCATGAACTCCGGTAGCCTTCGTCTTTGCATTCTTGAAGGAAAACTTGTCAAGGAAGTTCATCAGAGTATACAGAGTTGGGTCAGGCTTCTCCTTGATGGGCTCCTGGTTGACAATCTTGGAGGCAAGTACGTGAACAGAGGGGTGGTAGTGTGCCTGCAACGGCAGCAACTCCCACAAACAAGATAGGTCGGCTTTTGCGTGTTCGGGGTCTCGTTTGCGGGCATCATAGGTAGGTGCGGAAGACTTGTTGTTGTCCTGTTTGGTCGATGGCTCCTTGTCCTCATCCACGTCCTCGTAGTGCTCATCGCCGCTGTCGTCAGCATGATCCTCTGCCGTCGACAGCATAGACTTGATCGTCGGGAACGTGTTGATCATCTCATTCACCAGGTACAAAACACCGCAAATGAAGGGAGGCTCGTGCATGTGGATGGTCTGGAGGAGACGCTTCACAAAAGCCTTTACACGCTTGATGCTGGTATCGGCCTTGAGCGACCTGTACAGCAAGTTCAAGTACATGATGTGCTTGGATGTTGTCATGAGGCGTGGGTCCAGAAGAGACTCGTAGAGAGTGCGGTAGAAGCGATCAGCGGAATAGTGCTTGGTGGCTGAAATCTGCTGGATGAGCGTCATGGCCTGGATACTAGTGTTGAAGTTGGACGAGTGCGTCACTTCAAAGATCAAGTTCAGCTGCTCCTCAAATTTGGCGTCGTCCGTCTTGGCAAAGGGAAAGGCGCGGTTGACACCCGTCAGGATGGCGGCAATGAGCTTCTCTCGCGACTCGTCCTCGGCCTTGAAGGCCATGGTAGCCGCCTTTTGAGCCTTTTGCTTGGCCATCTTGCCGGGCTTCCCGCCGCCGCCCTGGATGAGCCCGTGCTTGTTCAGCCGCTTCTCTTCCTTTTCGTGTTCCTTCTGCTTCTTCAGCAGGCCCAAGAAGAGGCTAAAGTAGATTTCCAGCAGCTTGTTGGCAACCTCGGGCTCCTTCAGACTGAGGACCGTCTGGTTGAGCGTAATGACGGCGTAGTACTTGGCGACTCCGCTCTGGTTGGGCCGGAAGAGAAGATCAGATTCGATGGAGCTGATGATGACGTTCTTCATGAGGGGGTGAGTGTTCTGCAGCTGGAGCAGCAGATACGAAGCCCTGGATGCAACCTTCTTTTCCTTGTCTCCAAGCTTATTGATGAGCAGGCGCAGCAGATTTTCCTCCTGCTCCGGCTTTTCCTTGAGCAGCTCCCAGACATATGTGACGGCACGGTTGCGCGAGAACTCAACCTCGTCGTTGGACCACGCCTCCAAGATCTTCAGCAGCTCAAAGTACTGCTTCTTCAGCCAGTCCTCGTATGCCCACACGACCAAGTGCGTCTTTTGCAGATTGCCTGGTAGCTTTTCGCCCGCCTTCCAGTGTGCGTTCTTTCCCTGCAGCGCCGAAATGAGGGCTGGCTGGCGCGCAAAGGCCTTGAGCTTTCGATCCGGTGGAAGGAGAACGCCCTGGCCCAGCAAGTCCTTGAGCGCAGCCAAAGCCTGCATGGCGGCGTTCCTGCTCTTCTTCTGCGACAGGCCGAGGAGCTGGCCAAAGGCCTTTTGCGTGTGCAGCGGCGACTCCTGGACGACGAGCGTCAGCGCCGACACCTTGTCCTCCATGGTTCCCGATTCCATGACGGTCGCCATGAACTTGTGCGACGAGTCCTTGGCCAGGTGCGACGCAGCATAGTCGCGGGCCTCGGCGTCGAGCAACTGGACGGCGTAGTCGTGGATCGCATCGATGATGTAACGCGGCGGGATGGTGGGATTGTCGACCGTGGGCAGCGGCGGCAGCTCGATGGCATGCCATTCGGGCTGCGGCTTGATGAGCTGCGGCGCGTCAGTATGCGTAGTCTTGCCAGGAAATTGCAGCGCCAGCGCATACCAGCTGCGAGTGCGAGGGCGCCTTCTTCTGCTCGTTCTTTGCGCTCAGCCGGCCCGTGTCCGGCTCGGGCTTGGTGAAGCCATCCTTGGTCTCGGCATGGGTTCGCTTCTTCCCCATTTGATGCGGTCGGTGTCGCGCGCGGTCGAGCAGCAGGTCCGTCAGAGAAAATCCTCTGACCCGTCACGACCTCGGAGAGATGGAGGCGCTGGCACGGCGATGAGTCGAGAATTTGAAGATTCTTGGCGCGCTAGCATGTGTGCACTAGCGCAGTGGGGCCCGTCATTGTGCAGCGACGCCCGAGAGACCCTGGAGAAATCACCGCCATGCCGTGACTCAGCCTCCGCCCCTTCACTGCCGTCGCTTCGTTGCCATGATCGTGTCCAGCTCTGCACACAGCCATTAACATATCCGCATTGGCATTGACACACTGACGCCCGTCTTCTCGCGTCCCAATCTTTCCGCGTCCCCCGCCAGTCTACCCCGCCAGCTCGCATATCCCACGGAAGGCCCGGCATCCATTGACTTGCACCATGGCCACAGAAGCAGGCGGCGAGGACCAGAAGACGTCCATCACCCCCCTCCTCAAGCGCCTCTGGCACGAGTCTTCCTCGACCAAGCCCACCGCCGACGAGATTGCTGCTGCTCTCGCCCTCATCTTCACAAACAGTCTTTCCGAGGTCCAGACAGGTGCACTGCTGACATGTCTCCACTTCACCGACCAGGACCGACAGGCCGACGTCCTGGCCAAATGCTCAAAGGCCATGCGGGACTTCTCAGCCGACATTGATCTTCCAGGCATGCGGGAGCTCATTGCTAAGCGTGGCCGGAAAGAGGGGGGCTACCAAGGAGGCTTGTGTGACATTGTGGGCACCGGAGGTGACTCCCACAACACCTTCAACATTAGCACCACCTCGTCCATTTTGGCATCGTCTCTCCTGATGATTGCAAAGCATGGCAACAAAGCATCCACGTCGCGCTCCGGTTCGGCAGATCTCCTGACTTGTACTCCGCCAAAAGCTCCCGTCATCACAGCCGTTGCGCCCAACACCATCCACGAGATCTACTCCAAGACCAACTACGCCTTTTTGTTCGCGCCCATCTTCCATCCTGGTGCCCGCCATGCCGCTTCTATCCGGAGACAGCTGGGCTGGCGAACCATCTTCAACCTTCTTGGGCCATTGGCCAATCCCATCCATGACCTCATCGAGGCCCGTGTATTAGGTGTGGCTAGGAAAGAGATTGGACCTGATTTTGCCGAGGCGCTCAGACAATCAGGATGTAAGAAGGGCATGGTCATCTGCGGTGACGAAGAATTGGACGAGTTGTCATGCGCCGGGCCAACTCACTGCTGGCGCATAGTCGAGGACCCGTCAGGCCAGGTCAATATCAACTACTTTACCCTTTCTCCCGCCGACTTTGGACTCCCTGAGCATCCTCTGAGCGAAGTCAGCCCAGGACAATCTCCAGAGAAGAATGCCGAGATTCTCATGAAGATTTTGGCTGGTGAGGTTCCCCCAGACGATCCTATTCTACATTTCGTCTACATCAACACGGCAGCCTTGTTCGTCATCAGCGGTATTTGTGACTCAGACACGAGCAACATGGGACATGGCGATGATGGCAACGTCATCAAGGAGGTTGGACCTGGTGGCGGCCGCTGGAAAGAAGGTGTGCGGAGAGCAAAATGGGCCATTTCTAGTGGAGCTGCCTTCAGAGAGTGGAAAAGCTTTATAGAGGTCACCAACAGCCTAGCATAGACTTGAAAAATCAGCCGCATCGTGCTATTGTCGTATATAAGTGGATAGTTGTCATTTAGGCTTTGCTTTGCTTGTTAGTCACGCTTACTTGCATTCTTTAGTGTTTATCTGTTTGAAATATATTGTACCGCGTCCAACAGCTTGATATCTACTACGTGTTGAGTTGTTCCTTATTAAAGCCCAAACGGTTCTCTAACCGTGCATCTCACAACACTACCAAACGCACTCCCTTCTACTTTACAAGACCCATCTCACTTTGAACTCGTTACATGTTCTCGAATCAATGGACCAAGTACTACGAAACCATGTACCAAATCATAAATAACATTCAAAGACGAATAATACCCTGCCAATGATATCAAACTCCACTCTAGCTAAACACGTAAACAGCGAGAAGAAAGACTACATGTTAGATCATTCGAGATTTACTATCTAGCTGGTATAGTGACAGGTGCGATAGGCTAGTATGCTCTGTTGTATATTATACTACACTACACTGGAAACAGGTATGCAGCTGGAGAAAGGAAGAAAAAAAAGAAAAAGATTAAAGACGAGTTGTTTGTAAGAAATATGTATGGGATAGAGAAGGATACAAAGTAGTGCACACCAGCATGATGTATTGATCGCAGACCTGGAATAAGTGTGTTATCTGACTATATACTATGTATGTATGTATGTATGTATGTATGTATGCTTTTGATAGTATATACGTATTACCATGGGACGTTTCTGTATAGGTTGTTGAATGCTTGTAAGTAGTGTAGTTTAGCCATCTTCGAGGCTCTTGCTCAGTACTGCATGCTATACTACCCCACCGCTTAACTCTCTCTCTCTCTCTCTCTCTCTCTCTACAGATTTGTAGATTTAGATGGTATGCTACTATTATTGTAAGTTTTACACCAACCCCATCAAGACATGCTACGTGAACGTTTTTTTGTGTTTTTTTGCCATAGACATTCCACTTGTTTCATCCATAGGAGAAGAAGAAGAAGAAGAAGAAGAAGAAGAAGAAGAAGAAGAAAAAAAATCTTCAATCTCGTCTCCTTGCACTGTCCTTTTGGTTGGAATTAGGGACATGCAATAGATAAATGACGAAATCGCTGTTGCTCTATCTTTCTTTACTATTTCTCCTTTTTTTTCTTTCTTTCTTTCTTTATGCGAATAGTGTTTGTATGCTCTCAGGTTGTAGTCTTTTTTTTGTCTTGCTTTTATTTATTTTTTATTCTTGTTTCCTAGACGCTACGTTGAAGACAGTAATCAGTGCTTAGAAGAGGAGGAGGAGGAGGAGGAGGAAGAATAGCATATCAATGTAATACCAACCCATCTCACCCTTCTAGCAGATACCCACAGTCCCACAGTTTCCAATTCTATGCTTTTGCTTTCCCCTCCATCTCTACTACTCTATTCATTTATCAGAGTAAAATGGGTAGATAATAGACTCACTTGTCTCAATCAAGTGTATACACGAATACAACTACAGGGACATGTACATTCCAAGAAACGACTTTATCCACGTCCTCGGTATAGCTGTCTACTACACAGTATACTGTATGTTAGGCGTGAACTGCAATGCCACAGCGCGAAATAAGCTCTATAGGTACCTGGTGTCTGACGCTAACGGCTATGCTGTGTGTAGAATGCAACACAGAATTTCTAACCATCGCCATCCTTTGATCTATTCTGCAAAACCGGTTGTGGAGCTGCGCTGTACGTAGCGTAGCGTAGCATTTGCTCAGCCCTTCTTTCGTTCAGCTGCTATGGAATTTACTCACAGTCGACTTTGCACAGGTATCTGTGTAGGTAGGGGGGAAAAAGAATTGTTTTCGAGGTCTTGTTTGTCGTGATACCGACGAGCGGGTGTGAAGGCAGAACAATAGACTGACACGGCATGGTGATTTGGGGAGCTTGTGTGGCTTTGACTGTGCCTTGCTGTGATGCTGAGATATCACATCGTATCTGTATGGAATTATATGGGAAATGCGACTCATCATGTGCAGTTTACGGGTTGACTTTATATAAACGCCGTGATTGTGACGATGAACCAGGGGGATACCAAGTCGAGTACTCGGATGGCATGTGTAGTGTGCGTGTATACTATGCTATTCGAAGGCGAGGTTTCAGTTTGTGGAGAATAGCTGAGACGCTTTTGAAGTGCACTGTGTTGAGGATGAGCGTGGCGACATGAGCATTTGCAAGTGCTGAATATGTTAGTAAGAGACTGCATCTCTTGAACTCCATATCACAGCTGAGAGACAAAATGGTAGTCAGTGTTGGAAAAGTCTATGGCACTGGTATGAAGAATGGTTTTGAGAAAGTGATGTTTCAAGTATGTAGAAAACCCGGGTTGTGCTGTAATAAGCCAGTCTTGCATGTATACCAAGACGAAAATGATGAATGCTACAGCCTTCTTCAATCTAAGCAGCAATTGGCACGCTCGGTCCATCTACACGCATCACTCAAACGAGACACATGAACAAAGCAAAAGAAAGTCTCGCACTCGTTGCACAATGGCCGAAATCACGGAAAATCCACGGCCTTATATGCATTCCACGTCGCTCGCTCCACCACGCCACGCGTCCCAGCAGTCACCACGCAGCACGAGAGAGGGGGGATGGGATTAACCCCCAAAGTCGCGAAGGCCCCCCTCCCAAAAAAAATCGCCGTCTGCAATGAGGCCCGAAAAAAACGCGGCTTCTTCGGCTCATTTCCCATGTCGTTTGAAGCGGGCGCAAAACGTCATTGTTACAAGTGCAAAACTCGCCAACTTTTCCTTTGTTGCTTACCGTGTGGGACGCCGCGCGCACCATGTCAGGCGTGGGTTGAGGGGCGGTTTGCGAGTCGTACACAATGGCTTATCAATAAGGTCGTGTGGGACCCCCCCCCATGCCTCCCCATCGGTCCCCACCTCCCGTTGGGGTAACGAGAATAGGGCCCTCGGTTCGCAGTTGGAGAGAGATAGAGAGAGGGCGTCAAGACGGAAGGGGGGGGGAACAAAGAACAGGATCTGGGATGAAGCGAGAGCGGGAAGGTATACCGGGATGGTGATGGGCGATGGGGGGTCCTGCTTTTTTTCTTGCCTTGGTATTATCGACAGGGATTCCGGGATACTGGAAATGGGCATGCTGTGTGTCGAGTCAAGCGATGGGGGAAGCTGAAAGGAATAAAGGAAGGGTGGGAGAGAGAGAAAAACAGGGGATCACGGGGAACATGGGCAGTGGGAGGGTACGGCTCCCGAGCAAGGATAAAGTGGGCTGGGATGACGACGTTGGATGCGGGCGTGGGCGCGGCATTTTGCAGGAAGAAGGTTAGGCTTGGAGAGCGAGGCGACGAGGGTATGCAAAGCGAAGGGTTGGAATCAGAATCGAGAAAGAAAAGCGCCAGGGGGGGTTGTCTGGATCAGGGAAAGATGGGATGGTGGTCAAGGCCGCAAAGCAGCAGCGTGACAATGTGCAATTGCTAACATGGCTTACCTATTCACACGGACAAACCGAGCATGCCAAAGGAAAAAACAACAACAACAACAACAACATCAAGTCAGACATGGAAGAATAGTAACATCTTTCCATCTGACCGCGTAACCTAACCGAGGCAAAGGGAAGAAAAACTTTCCAAAACACAAGCCCATTTACCGTGCGTGTGTGTATGTGTGAGAGACAGAGAGAGAGAGAGAGAGCCATCGTCATGGCCCTTAGTCAGGTATGCGGAATTAGGGTTGCAAGGAAATCGCAGCGATGCTATTGGCCACCGGAGAACATTCCCGGCGGAGAGCCCGCACCACCAGACGCACACGGCCAAACAAAGGCTTGGCAGGAACACGGAGCGACGACAAAGATAACAACAACCAGGCAGGGTATGCAACACATGTAGTAGTAAGTTCAACGTCAAGGCTTATTGTGCTCGAGTCAATACTGATGAGCTGGCTAGCTCGCTCACGGGAAACCAAAATCTGGGAAATTGAGCCCGCTCTACTGACTTTGACTTATTCGTATACTTGATAAGTAGTAGTTAGTTGGTCTATATGATGATGATTTACTCGATGCAGCAGCATTCCCGTCTTACTACATAGTACTTAGATATACTATTCTTGTGCCGCAGCCTCCCATGCGCACATAAGTCCCGGGATTATGTACATGATTTTAAAGCAACAAGGGAAAAGAATTTAACAGGGCAGAGAATTGTCCCTGCAGCCATGTTCGATTTCCATGTACCGAGCATGTAGGCATGTAGCCAGTGGGGCCCTTGCACACACCCCTTCGCTTGGACTGCCGTCGTGTGCAGTAAGCAGGCGAAGCGAGAGACATGCACGCAAGCAAGCAGGCATCGCGGCAAACGGGTTACATGCATGTCAAAGCCGCAATTGTGGAGGAAAAAGGGCTGAGAAGGGCTGAGGTTTGCATGCGTGCGTAGCCTGTGTACAGCCACAGCTAAGTACAGCGACCGCACCAGCCCAAGCCCAAGGCTGAAAGCGGAATAAACACGCGCAAGTCTCGCCGACAAGCGCCAGACAACAGGCCGAGGCATTGCGAGAGAACATCAATCTTCAATCAATTCTTGGTGTGTTACATAGATCGTCCGCCGTATCAACATGCTACATTACAGGTACATTACATGTGCATTACCTACCGTTCGTATACGATCCGAGGCGAAACATGTCAGCCGCAAAAAAAAAATGATCGTATGAGGGACTACCCAGGAACGGAAGAAAAATAAAATACAAGCATCTATATTCTCGATATTATTACACATGATTATCATCGCATGAGGTGGACAGCATCAACAAGAGAAGAAGAAGAAGAAGAAGAAGAAGAAAAAAAATGTTGGGGGGAGGGGAGGGGAAGATGCAATCCAGGGAATTGATGAGACACACTGAGGGGAAGAATGCAAAAGAATGGTGTGCATGTGTGTATGAGTGTATGTATAGACAAGACATGGGGCCTGGATCGGGAAATGTACATACAATCCCATGATGCCAAGAGCGCAGCAGCAGCAGCAGCAGCAGTAGCAGCAGCAGCAAAGCCAGAGAGCGAGCGAAAGCGAGAAAGCGAGAAAGCGAGAAAGCGAGAAAACGAGAAAGCGACAAGGAAAAGCGAGGAAACAAAGAGCGGGCAACCAATGCCAACAGAAACACGACAACTGCCGATCTCTGCATATTTTTATTACCTATACACGTGCCCTACAACTTGTATGTACTAGTGCCAAGTAGATAGTGCGGTGCCAGCCTTCCGCAGACTACCGGAGTAACCATACAAATCTATGTCCCGTCCGAACATGGATGTCAACGTCGGCGACTCGCGCCGGCGCGTCCATGTCAGAGATTGACAGCCCAACTCGGAAGGGTGTCAGTGTTGCTACCAGATGCTAGCCAGCAACGGGGGGGGGGTGTGTGGAGGGGACCACCTAAGATCGCCTGGTCTGCCAATACTGCGAACGTCCAACCGGTCGGCGTGAGACACGTGCATTGGTGCTCTGAGACACAAACAAACAAAAAAGCCGACCGATGGGTGGGAATGGTTGATGAAGTTTTCTTTTTCGCTACTTTTTTATTTTTATTTTTGCTCTTCTTCTTTAGTCGCAGGCGAGAAACATGGTGTGGTGCGTGTTGATGAAACTCTGATTCTTTTGCATGGGCTCGCATATCCAAGGCACATGCATGGGAATACAGGCCAGATCAAGGTGCATGAGGTGATGATTACAAGGAGCGCACCCTGGTTGGGTCAAGGTGAGAAGAGCTGACGGGGCGGATAAGGGCCACTTCCGACAGATACGGTGACATGGAGCGGGGAAAGGGGTCTGCAAGAAGGGAACAGGGTAGCAAAAAAGTCATGGTGCAAATGCCGTCTTGTCTTGTTGGGCGAGGAATCCGAGTGTGAGGGTTGCAAGCGAGGTGCGGAGAGGGGCTCCGGGCAAATGCATGGCGTGTAAGCTGATAGGTGTAAGAGATGTGTAAAGACGACGTCTTTTGTCGTGATTAGAGGGGAGGGGGTTTCCGCAGGCCGTCCAAACCGTGCCGCAGAAGAGAGAGAGAGAGAGTGAGACAAAGACGGACAGGCGAGAGACGACAGGGCGGCATGCAGCATCAGTTTCCCACGTGGATCGACTCTGCGGTAGCGCGAGCGGGGATGCGGGCCACAAGTGTATTCTGGGAGATGACACAGCCAACTTGGCCAACGGTTGGAAATGTCCGCTGGGAACGTGTTCCGCGGGGTGCTGGCCAATGGGGCAGGGGGCGGCAGGGGGCCCGGGCGCGAGACCCTCAAGCCTTGGGCTAGGACAAGGCGCAGGTGGCATGGCCCAGCAGCCTTGCAGCACCACGGCCCACGCCAATTGGTTTCCGCTGGCTTTGGCTGCAATCTCAATCTTGGAAGACATGCGACACAGCTCCCAGGCCGCCATGGCGATAGCGGCCATCCAAGTGTCAGTGTGGGAATAAGGTTTTTCTTTGCACAACTGCCGTAGTGCCAACGCGGTAGGGGCAGTGTAGAGCATCTGCACCCGGGCCAATCGCGTGCACACGCACATGCCCGACCACTGTCGCATGTCGCTAATCGAGATGAGAATGCGACATGGCACATGTGGGTGGAAATGAATCCACACGAGATGCGAGTTGCCAGAGGGTCGGTCCAAGATACCACGGGGGCGCAGAGGGGGAGGGGGGGAACAGGTCCAGGGTCCCGTCGTGCAGCCACAGCCACCGATACTCCTCGTCCAGCCCGGACAGGTATGCGAGGACAAGCCCCAAGACGAGTAGTCCTCGGAGGGCACGACTGATGAGCCTGTTTCCTTGGTGGGGTAGCCGAAGCCACCGCCCACGACATGGACAGGTGCATGCAGAGGCTTGACGAGACAGGCTACACCTACATTGAGCCGTGCAGCGCGTATCCAAGTCGAGTAGTGGTAGTGCATCGGCTTCCCTTGAGCTCATCGACGGGGTGCAAGTACTCTAAATGAAGCCCAAGGGCAGGATTAGCGTTGGCAGCACAAACGCCCTCAACGGAAGGCTGTCCAGCGATGCTGATTTGGCCCATCGTCCGCGGCCCATGGACGGGATCGAGATCGCAACGTCGTTGCCAAGACTGCAATGCTCTGTTGGCGCAAGTGCAAGCGTGCTACTTTTTTTTTTCAAGGCCCGAGTGGATCCGGATATAGTGTCGTTGGCAGAAGCGTCGGTGACGTCGTTGTGTGAGCTGGAAATTGCAGTACAGTGCCCGTTGGCAAAACAAATACGCGGCTCCCAAGATGGGTCGTGGGTTGGCGTGTTGGGCATTGCCCGAGTCTGAGAGTGCGCGGGCTAGGCATGGCTGAGATGAAGCAGCGTCGGAAACTCTGCGCTTGTTCATGCACCAGAGATGGTGAATATGCAGGGTCTGGGTTAGAGAGTGGGAGTGGCCGTGGGAGCGAGGAAGAATAGACGGATGGCTGAGAGGGAGCGGCGCAAGTGCAAGCAACGCAACTCTGGAGAGATTGCGCGAGCGAGGGCGCATGGAATAAGCAATTTAGGTTTCGCGACGCCGTGAACAATGCCATCAGGACGCACATGGGGCCAAGCAAAAGTACCGTGAAGGCACGCAGCTAACCATGGTACGGGGAGTGATGAGGCTCAGCACGTGGAGGAGGGGCGGTGGGTGAGTATGCGTTGTGAGTGAGATTGCCATGGCGGGAAGCATTGCCAATGGCACGGGGGGGGGATGTGTGTGTGTATGTGGGTGTGTATCGCGGCCTGCCGTTTTGGGGCCAGCGGCAGTGGCAGCCGGCGCGAGATGCGCAGGGCCTGGGGGCGGTGGGGCGTGGTGACATCATTGTTTGTGAGAGAAAGCGAGGGCCCGGGTCAGGCGGCGGGAGAAAAGGGGACTCTGCGGGCCCTGCATGGTGGACACAAAGGCAAAAGAGGGCGAAAACAGGACAGCAAAGTCGCGAGATCGCGATCGCAGGCTGGCAAAAGGACCGGATGGGCGAGGGCGGCGTCAAAGTAAAAAAGCAACCGAGCGGGCTAGGGTGCGGGCACCAGGCCGATGTGGTGCAAAAGTTCGATGAGGGGGGCAGCCGTACGCACGGCTACCGTTTGGCGACCGCGTGGAGGGGCCCGGTCTGGCCAGAGGGGTCTATGGGTCCATGCAAGCACAAGCGCATGCACGAGTGCCAGCGCGCGCTAGGGGCGCGGCCAGGGGCTGTGGCTGAGGGGGACAGGACATGGCGAGACGCCGACGTCATGGTGACCCGCGCACCGCCCGATCCCCACCCGATTGCCCGATCACTACACAACGTCGAGCGCCGCGCTAGCCCCCAAGCGGATGTAGCGGAACGGCCGACAGGGGTGGCCGGCGCCCGGGATGCGCAAGTGGAGAAGACCCTGATCTCTGTATTACATCAGACATGGCGACGTTATGCCGGCGCGCGTCGATTTTCGAGTACCGAGTGCATGCGTGTGAGAGGGGGTGTGAGAGGGGGTGTGAGCAAGTGTGAGTGGGTGAGTGAGTACAAGTAATTAAGCAAGCAAGTAATTGAGCAAGTACTAACTAAAAGAGAGAGAGAGAGAGTGTGTGTGTGTGTGTGGCAGAGAATGCGCGCGCCTCGAGACGCAGACCCTGGAGCCATGCCCGCAGAACGCCCGCCCTGCACCCACCCATCCGCCCCCTCCATCGCTCTGCCGCCATCGCCGCCGCCGCCGCAGCTGACCGCTGCCGTGGGACGCGCCCAGCCGAGTGTCTTGCTGTAATGGTAGAGTGCGTGTATGTTGGGTGTAATGGGCGAAGGGGGGAGCAGGCGACGGGGTGACGAGGCGGGCGTGTGTGCGTGCCTGTGTGCGTGCCTGTGCCTGCTGCTATTCTTGTTGGGCGCTGCGTGTGCGTGCGGGCGCGCTTGGTCGACACGGCGCCCCACGGTAAAACAGAACAACAGCAGCAGCAGCATGAGCTGGCACACGAGTCCTGCTTTGCAAACTACACTACTGTCGAGATCGCGATCTCTCCTGATTCCACGGCACCATGGCTTGTGCAGCACTGGTCGGGGCTTGCCCTTGCCGGGCGCGCGCTCGCTTGTGCGGTTGCTTTTGCCCACGATCGCCCGCGCTGCTGCCCACGCCCTCGGCCGGCTCAACAGCAGAAGCTTTGGAGGCGCGCTCGATCGCCCGCCGTGGAGCGGTATGGCCTGCCACGGCCTGCCCTGCCAGGCGTCGGCTGAGCTGATGCCGCGTGCTGGCGGCGCTGCCTCTTCCTGGTCGCACGTCGTCTTGGTCGCGCAAGGCCTGATCGCCGGGGCCCCTGCCACTCGACGCCGCTAGCGTCCGAGGGCGGACTGCACTTTCCCATCTCCACGCATGCAATTCCTCAGTCCCTGATAGTGCCCTGATCCCGGGTCAAGTGAACCCTGTGCCTTGCCCTGCGCACTGCCTTGCCCATTATAACTGTCACCCACTCCCGCCCAACTGTGTGGTGCTGCACCAGCAACGCTCTCTCCCACAACACGCCCGCCTCCACCACTACCACTACCACAACAACAACAACCACAACAACTGCTACCACAGCTGCCGCTACCACTCCCACAGCAGCCGCACTCCCACTCCCACTCCCACGCCCACCTGCACCCCGCCTGCGCTGCCGTGCCCCAACCTCGTCGTCTGGTGTGCCGCCCGCCCGTCCCAACGTCCCCCCTCCCCCCTCCCCCCTCCTCCTCCCCTCCACCCTACCACTACCCCCCCACCACTGTCAACGTAAAAGGCCCATCATCCCCCCCCCCTTGGCTGCTACCGCATTCTCTCAACCCAACCCAACCCAGCCCACACCCGGCCAACCACTCCCACATTCTCTCGCGCGCGCCCCTCAATTGCTGTCGCGCTGCCCTGCTCGCATTCGCCCGCTTGCGACTGCCCGCTTTCACGTGCTTGCCTCTGCTGCGCGCACTGCCATTCTAGACGCCCTCCCCTCTGCCGCGCATTTGGTTGCCCCGTCCTCTCCGGCACGTGTCTGCACAAAATGGACGCCTTGTCCGGCAAGAATTCGACAGGTCGCAGAGTGTCTTTGCTAAACGACGGCCCGGCGCCTCCACCCCAACTCGTCCGCCTCCCTTCCATCACTCCTTCTCTCCAGTCCCGGACCTCGAGTTACTCGTCGCCTGCCGCTTCCCCCCCAACTCCCCGCCTCGTTCGCAGCGACTCGTCCGACTCCAACATGCAGACACCCTCGCCCATCACGCCCGACTTTGCCTTTGAGCAGGCCATGGACTCGCCCGTCTTTTCGCAAAACGGCTTCTTTGCGCCCCCAAAGGACCTGGGCTACCCCTTGCACCCCCAGACAGCACAGCACCCCTATGCCGCCCAGCCCGGCTACTTCACCAGGCCCGACCACATTGCCGACCAGCACTCGGAGCCGGCCGCCTTGAACGCCCGCCCCAAGAAGAACAGCTACCCGTGCCCCATGGCGAAGCAATACGGCTGCAACGACTACTTCACCACATCAGGCCACGCGGCGCGCCACGCCAAGAAGCACACGGGCAAAAAGGATGCCTTTTGCCCCGAGTGCAACAAGGCCTTTACGCGCAAGGACAACATGGAGCAGCACCGCCGCACTCACCAGACGGGCCGCAACGCAGTAAAGGGCACAGACCGCGACGTGAAAAAGGCCAAGCACCAGGCCAAGCGACCCAAACCGGCGCCGCTGCAGTCGTCGACCATGCCCTCGCTGTCGTCGCTTTCCATGGTCGACCCCTCGCTTCCCCTCAGTCCCGGCGCTGCGTCGTACCTGGCTCCCGCGGTACCAACAAGCGACTCGTTCCTTGACTTTGCCCATCGCTCGCCCTACCCCGACCCGGCTCCCTACAGCTACAACCCCAGCTCGTACGGTGGCCTGGATGCCCTGGCGATAGCGGCGAGTGGCGAGAAGCGCAAGTTTGAGTCTTGATGCCTCGTGCTTGATTTTGTCCATGTTTTTATTGATTTATTCTACTTCACTTCTGGATGTGCAGCACAAGGGTTAATGACGACCGGAGCAAGGCGCTTATGGCTACGATCATGGCCTCATGGAGTTTAAAAGCCCCGTTCTCAAGAAATAGACGCATGCCGTCATGGCTACGAACGGATGGGACGGCGTTCTTTTTTTTGGAGGGGGGGGGGAGCAAGCGCGTCGTTGGACGCACAGCAAACTTTGGGTTTCTTTGTTTCTTTTTTTTCCTCTCTCTCTCTTTCTCATGCTGTCATTTTTTCTTTGTATATACCATTACTTGCACCGACGCCGGTGTTACGGCCATGTTTCCTTGTTCAATGTGGTTCTGGCGCTACCATAACCACTGCATGATGGCGGAGGAGGGCTTCAATGTTAGCGACGTGGGATTGGGGACTGGTGGTAATATGGATACCCGCCCTTTTACATGGTGCACCGACGTGTTTCTTTTTTGTTTCTTTTGTTTCCTTGTTACACGTATCCATGCACGTCTGCCTGGGTTGAGTTTCTTTTCCTTACCGTGTACAGAAGAAGAAGCAGCATCAGCATCAGCATCAGCCATGGGGCGGTTGCGCGGGGCGCGGTGGAACCTCTGGGCCCATCTGAGCAAGGCGAATGAAAAATAATATCTCACATGCGCAATTTTCCCCCTCTTGGTCGCAAGGTTGTCGGCGGCAGACGGGATTGTCCTTACGCAATGTGGTCTGGTAATCTCAACAATACATTGGCAACCATGGACGGTGGTGGGTGAGGGGGGTGTAAGCTGGGCGCCAGCCACTTGCGAACCAAAAGACGACGGATGCTGGGCAGATGCAATGGTGACGACAAGCAACGGGCACGAACTAGAGGTTGGCGACCCGCTGTCAGTCGGCCATGTCACTTGGACTAGCACTTGTTACCCCAGCACCCAGCACCCAGCACCCAGCACCCAACCCCAACACGCACTACTACACTACACGATGACTGCTGCTTGCCGCGGGCCTGCCATGGTTCGCATCTACATGACGGTTACTACTGTGCCTGGTGCGCTACGCCCGACGACTCGTAAAGCTTATTCCGGGCCCCCTCCCTTCGCTGAGAGTCGGTGCATGTTTGCGCCGCGGAGACTACGCCTAATCATACAGCTACAGCGACGACAGTTGCTACACGCCGACTAGACTACTGGCCGCCCGCCGCCAACCAACGGCTGTCTGCCAACCTAGTTTTCTTTTTCCGTCCTGTCCTTGTTGCGCTCGTCGCATCGCTCGGTTCCCAGTGCGTGTTGCGTCAAGGAAAAAAAAGCAGGCCGCGGAGGGCTGCTCCCAAGGGACCGCAGACCCTGCAGATCGTGTTCGATAACCCAACTTGGGCCCTGAAGATCTGCACTCCAGGACGCTCATTTCACCAGGCCGGAAAGGCATCCGCAGCGGCTGATTGGCGGCGTGCCAGGAGCCTTGAGGGGAGGAGGGGGGGGGGAGCTGCCGCTTTACCAAGCACCGCGTCGCTTCGCGGACACCCCGACGGCCGACCATGTTGCTGACCTCGACCTCGCGCTCGAGGCCTGAGTAATGCGCAATTCACGCACCCACATATCCCCCCCTCCCCGAGGCAGCGCAGTGGCAGTGGCAATGCAATGCAATGCTCTCCGCCATACTGCTGGCCCCGGCCCCGACATGGACGGCGACGACGGCCGCCGTGGCTCCTCGGCACAGCTTCCACCTCTCTGCCTCGTTTCCGATCGCGATGGGCCCGTCTTACACGCATCTTGGGCACCGCATGCTCGCGATGCTTTGGGAGGCGGCGGCGGCGGCGGGCATCGCGGTCGTCGGTCGGCTTCCTTTTTCCTCTGGCGTCGCCTCCAGATTGGGGCAGCCAGCCGGCTATGTTGCCACCAAAGGCGTCGTAGTGGAGGAGACGGGCTTGCTAAGGCGAACAAGAGGGTGCAATGGGCCGAAAAGGACAGGGCGACGAGGGGTTTATTTGTTTTTCGCATCAGACAACCAAGGCAAGCGAGAGGTGCAACCGAAGCGCGTGGATGCAGCCGTGGGCAGTCGACATGGCGGAGGTTGCCGCCGCAGAGGCAATGGGGGATGACGCGTAGGGCCAAGAGTTGAACCGGTGGATACCCTTTTGGTGGTGGCAAGCGGACCTTGTGCTTGTCATGTTGGCGTAGCGTTGGATGTGAGCGGCGGTAGTGGCAGTGGTAGCAGCGAGGCGTGGCATTGATGGAACCTTATCGTAGATGGGGTGGCCCGTGGGGCTGAAGGCAGGCCAGGGCGGGCGGGGAGATGGTCGCGGACGTAAGTGTCCATGTAAGGACAGGATGCAGTGCAGTCGAGCGTCGGTGTCGGGTTGCCGGAGGGCGCTGGGGGGGGGGGGCGTCGAGGGCAGCCTTGTTGCGATTGCCGTTGTCAGCGTGCGTGGCGGCCGGGTGGTGTTGAGCACCTGTTCAGGCTTGGCGGCCGTCTGTGCAGATCCGCACCGCCGTATCCCCCGCACCACACAACCTCCTGCTGAGCCAGTGACATACATGCATGCACATGCCCTCCTCTCACTTCTCCCCCGCACACCATGGTGCTCCGCTGCAGCCCCGCGCTGCCTGCAGCATGGCCTGTCACGTTGTAGAACATGTTCCATCTAGCCCAAAATAACTCTGCAACCATGCTGGCACTTGTACGCGAGTTGCGGGGAAATGCCCAGCTCCCGCCGCGCCCTTGGTTGTGAAGCGTATTCGGGTCATCACAAGCAACCAGTGCCAGCCGGACCCTTCCGAGTCTCGGATGCCAGCCAAAAGGGCGTACCATGCTGCCTTTGTTACTCAGCGCCATGAGGGAATTATGCCAAATGATTCGGCCTCTTGCCCATTCACACGCTTAGCCAGCTTGCTTAGCCAGCTTGCTTAGCCAGCTTGCTTAGCCAGCTTGCTTAGCCAACTTGCCTTTAGCCAAATCTGCCTTTAGCCAAATCTGCCTTTAGCCAAATCTGCCTTTAGCCAAATCTGCCTTTTCGTCCATGGCCCAGGATGCACCAGGCCTCTCTCCTCGACACCAGCTGCACATGGCAGCGGCACACAACGTTAGCCTGTCTCAACAGACGGTAACTTTGCCCCCCCTCCCCCCTCAGCACCCATTTGCCGACGCCTTGTCGTGTGCCATGCACGCATGCCGAAGAAACGATAAAGCGTATTCGTGAAGCCACAAAAGGTAGGTTTGATGAATGCCACGGCCATTGCCAAAGTGGGGCGGTTGCTAGACGCCGTTTGGTCCGTGTTGAAAGACGGGAAACTAGTTGGCAACATGGTGTTTCAAGAATGCTGTATCACATGGCAGTGGTACGTCTGCAATGGCTAGGTGTAGGCTTGCTGCCCATGACAAGTGCGTGGCCAATCGCTACAAGCCTGGTGTAGCGCCACCAAAAGCTTAAAGGTCGCTAACTTGGGCCTGCAAGGACCGGCACCCTCGAAAAAAAAAGACCCTGTACAACAGCAGTGGCTTTGACTACGCCCAAAAACGCAAAATCATCTTACGATGCATCTCCTTTTTCGAGCCTTATTCCCGACAACGACAACAAAACACCAACCACCTTCTCGCGCTCCTGTTCCGACCAACACCCTTGCTTCAGCGCCTTACACCATTTCCATCCGCTCTCCCAACAAAAACTGGCTGCAAGGAACATCCCCAATCCGCTCTCGTCCAATCAATATCCGACCACCTCAAGCCTTCTGTCGTGCGAACCTGTGCTACCCTGATGTTGCCGCTACACACAGGGACGAAGCATATTTCCCACAGACCTTTTGTACTGGCCACAAACACCAAGCCTTTTTTGCCTAGGCGCCGTCGTAGGCACCTTGTCATGCAACAAAACCAGGGGGGGGGGGAAGGTTTCCAATCTGCACAACATGAGATGGAAATTATGCCGCCAGAAAAGTCGAGCTGAAAAAAAAAACAAAGTCAGAGCTAGAGATGGGTAAGCGAACAATTGCATCCTAGCCAAGACGTGTACGTACGTACGTACGTCTTGTCTGTCCGTCGGTCGGTCGTAACTTACTCCGAATCTCACCTGACCTCCGAGGCATCTATGTCGAGGCGCTGGCACTGGCGCCGGTAACAAGACGGCGCATGTAGGGTGTGTGGCATGAGATGCGCTGAGATGAGATGAGATGAGATGGAATGAGTAATCCGCTCTACTTATGTCCGAAAGTCCGTGTCCGTGTCCGTGTTCGTGTTCGTAGCCCCTAGTCCTAGTCCTAGTCCTAGTCCTAGTCCTGGCCCTGGTCGTGTGGTCGTGCTCACTCCAAACGATGCATCTCATCTATGTATGTATACAGTACTATACATGCGTCTTTACACCCACCCACACATGTCTACATAGTTTTGGTATTATCACCAAACTAGGAATCTCATCTTGACGATGATCATTTCTTACGTGCGACTGCGACTGCATCATGTTGGCATATTAATAGTAATAGTAATAGTAATCCATCATCCAGTAAGCCGTTTCGCCGCACTAATCATGATGAGTATGATGGAGGGGTTATTTTTTTGTTTTATCGCGCAAATGCTTGGGAAAGGAGAGAAAGAGGGGAAGCGGTTGTTTGAGTTTCGTGGGGTGGTTGGGGCTAGTAAAGAGGGGATAGAAGAGGGGGTGAATGTGGGACTGGAGGAGGATAACCTACATTGATACACTCACACCTGTACATACATGTTTCCTTGAACACATTGTTTATCGTCCCCACCGCCACCATTGCCATCCTTATTACCGTCAGTCTTACCCCCACAATCATACTCATCATCACCATCACCGTCGTCATCGCCGTCATCGCCATCGTCATCTCGTCATCACCGTCATCCTCGTAAAACCCCCCCCCCACCATGCTAATACACATGTAAGCACCACTCCGTGGAAAAAAAAACCCACCCCCCCCCTGGGTCTGTGCACATCAGCACCAGTCCGTGTGTAAGCTTCCTGTCAGCAACAAGCGCTTTCAGGGTCTAAACCCCCGAGGTTCAAATCTGAAATCGAGGGCCAAGGCTATAACACCACATGTAGTATATACACACACACACATACATGATGCAGTGCACATGTTCAGGTACATGTGTGCGCATGGCAATGCTTCTATGTACGACTAGGATTCAGTTTCAAGCTTGAAACAAGGTTTAGACCCACGCTATGCTGCGCTGGACTGAGTACTACTGTAGGCTAAACAAGCACTTGGGCAGGGTGCGGGGGGGGGAAGAGCAATGTCAGATGACAGGACGGGAGAGTTATTTCAGGGTGCGAGGGTTGGGAGAGATGGGGGAAAGAAAAAAAAAGGAGGGGATTAGGTTTATAGTGGAGAGTGGTGCGGAGTAGAGCGGAGTGCAAGAGCGAGATGAGATGAGATGAGATGAGATCGGGCGAGATAGGACGAGATGAGATGGGATAGGATAGGATAGGATGGGATAAGACGCTATAAGGTAAGGCTGTGCTGTGTGAAACGGGAAATGTTTGTATGTATATGCAGTCGAGTGGTGAGTTTTATTACTAGGTCTGAAAAAAATGGCCCTACGTATAGTACTATGTAGTAGTGCAGTGCCGGGTAGATTGGCTGCGAGTTTTACATACCATAGATATATTGCGTAAGTAGTTGACTATCGCAGCGGGTGGAATGAAAGAGGTAGCACTATTACTGCTGCTGCGAATGAACCATTCGTTTCTCGTTGAGAACATGGTAAAAGAAAGAAAACATCGTTTGGTCTTCGTCTTGCTCAAGGATTAGTGTTTACAATATGCATGCTTCATATCATAACAGGAATTCAACTGGTATTCCCTGCACCTGTGACATGCTATAGTTTGCCTCGTCTTCGTAATTCCGTCGTATATGCAGGTACCAGCTCCAAAATCGCTTAAACCCAATCTCCTTAACACAACCTTATTGTATTATCACACCAATACACATACATGCATATACGCGCTGTCACATACGATCCCAGACTTGGCAGACATGGCTACACCATACTTGAAGATGCATAATCAATCCATTCGATTCTAGCTGACAGCTGACACCCGACACGTGAATAATCAAATGCTTCGCGATACCACCCGTGAACACCGTCGTTGCATAGCACATGTGATTCTCGTCTCGCTATCACAAACACACCCTGCATTTTGCCGCAGTGGTGAAACAACACCTTGTGCCCTGTCCAACTACAAACAGGAACGAATTTGCTGTCCTTGGCATCCGGGACACAGCAAAGACGTATCAGTTGGAGTGGCGTCCAGCCGTGTATCATGTTGCTACCACATCTTGTGCGGAAATACAGCGGCCAGCTATGAACGGGGATGGAGGCATTTGAAACTTGTCGTGGTTCAGAGTGGGGAGACTTTTCGTCTTTGTCTCTCTTCCGTCTCCTTGGCATACAGAAATGCCGACACTGCATCTCTTGATGCATTTTGCTCGTCCTGCATGCGAGGCCCCGCCACTTTCCCAACACATGTCTGTCTTCGTAACCCAACATGTGGGCACCTGCGTCTATTCCGATGTGAACCGGCATGTGGTGGCGTGATGATTTGTCGTGTTGCGGGAACGCCCCAACCAATCTTGTACAAGGGGGCGGGGTGTTTTGCATTTTGAAATCTTTCCTCACGTGAACTTGGCCATGTTCACGTATCGCGCAAAACTATGGTCTTCGCCCTGGTCGAGACCATGATCCTGCACAGCCTGCCTGTAGCGTTCCTTGATGCCAGTTTCCGGATCGTCCGAGTCCATCTCATCTTCGTAATCAAGATCGTCGTGCACCATGCCGTCTTCCCCAGAGTCTTCTGCGTCGCTAACAGTCTGGGGCTCTTCTTTGCGGGGTTTTGGCTTTGGTTTGGACCCTGCGCCACCAACCTTCATGTCCTTCATCATCTTGTCCAGTTCCCGCTGACGCGCCTCCTTCTTCTCTTGCTCCCTCTCCGCCCTCCTTCGCTCAAGCTCGGGTTTGTAGTCGCGTTCAAACTCCGCCTTCTTCTCCTGCACACCCTTGAAAAATTCATCCATGCCGTCGCCTGTCATGGAACTCACGCCTACCACGCTGAGATGTTTGTAGAATTCTTCAAGCACTAGTGACATGCTGTTCAGTAGGCTGCCCATGTATCCACTGCCACCGCCTACGCCTTCGCCGCCAAAGGTACCGCCCTCCTCTTCGTTGCGGAGCGCAGTTTGAAAGGCCTCAAAGTCAGTCATCCAGTCTTTTGCAAACTGGGCGTCTTGGGCATCAGTCTTGTTGAAGACGAGGATCATGGGCAGTTTTGTCTTGTACAGAATGGAGCAGGCGTAGAGCATGTTGGACATGAATGTGCTTGTGCTGGTGGTGCGCGGAGTGTCGATAATGTACGCAATGACTGTGGGAAACGTGCTGGCTAAACTCGAAAGAAGAATCTCTCCACTGGCCGACCAAACAAACACCTCGATTTGGCCTGGTGTGTCAACCAGGATGTGCTTGACTTGAAGCTGCTGCGCCGGAGCTGCTTGCTTATCCTTTCCGCCGCTTGTCATGAACTCTACTGTGCTTGGCTCGGGCTCTGTCGAAGGCGGCGGTGGACGTGTTCGCTTCTCCAGTAGGGCGATGACTTGGTCGATTTTTGTACTGAACAAGTTCAAACTCGTCAAAATGCCACCGTTGGGACCCAGGTTGAATTGCTTCATGACCTCTTTGTAGTTTACACTGTCGCGGATGTCGATGTTGGGCGTAAAGGGGACGTGGTGAACGGCGGGGTCAAGGTTGATAATGTACGGCGGAGTTGGAGGCGTCTTTGAGACCGACGGCTCACTCTGGGTTGGGTCGGGGTGAGTGTAGAGATGCGAGACGACTCGCTGCATAAATGTCGTCTTTCCACTGCCTGCCATGCCCACGCATACAATGGACACGGGTGAAGGCGAGGTTGCGGGAGACGCCGTGCCCTCGGGAGCCTTGGAGGCTGACATGGCGGGCGATCTATGTGGGATGGCCGATCGGGTGAGCGAGTGGTGGATAGATGGCAAGGCGTGTAGGGAGGAAGTGTACAGGCAGGCTAACATTCTCGAAATTCTTAGGCGGGGCCGACACGCTAGTGAGAGAGCCGCGGTGATGTCAGGCCCAAGCGCCAACTGCATGTCGAAACTTTGACCGCACGCGTTTGACGTCGGTCGATCTACATCAACGCCAATTCAAGCACAGTCATCACCATGGGCCTGGAGGATTTCGAAAAGGAGCTTGCAGAAAACAAGAAGAGGGAAGAGCATAAGAAGCGCGACAGGAGCAGGAGTCGCGACAGGCATCACCGCAAGCACCGCTCCTCGCGCCATCACGACGACGACGAGCGAGAAGAGCGCCACCGTCACAAGCGATCGCGTCATCACAGAGAGACGTCTGAAGAGCGCGCCCGGCGCAAGCGGAAAGAAAGGCACGATAGGCACGACAGGGACGACCGGTCGCGGCCCAAGCGCAGGGAGTCTCACTCGAGCGACGATGAGGACCGCCTGACACGAAACCGCAAACCGCGACACTATGACGAGGACGAGTCTTCTGGCGATGACGCGCCACAAGGAAAGGGCTATGCGCCGCCCGACGACGACATTCTAGACCGACAGCTCGAGGAGGCTGCCGACGCAGACCTGCAGCGCGATGACTGGATGAAGGCACCCTCATCGCTGCATATCGACTACGTGCAACGCAAGAAGAGAGAGGAAAAGACGACATATGTGAAGGCATCGGCTGAGCCTCAGCAGGCTCTCAGGATGCATCAGGCCGAACTAAACCATCATCTAGCCAACCCGCAGGACGAACAAGGGGCTGTGGCCAAGGAGCCGGCCCAGAGAGAAGTGAACTATACCTTTGGAGATGCTGGAGCGCAATGGCGCATGACCAAGCTCAAGGGAATATATCGGACGGCTCAAGAGTCGGGGCGCAGCGTAGAAGACGTAGCCATGGAAAAGTACGGCGACCTGCGCGACTTTGACGAGGCGCGCGAGGAAGAGATTGAGCTGGACCTGAGAAAAATGTACGGCAAGGACTACGTGGGCAAGGAGAAGCCGTCTGGTGAGCTGTACGAGGAGCGCAGGCTGAATGCAGGCATCCGTCGGTCGTCTGGTCCGTCTGGAGAAGCATCAGAACCGCCTCAGGGCGAAGTTGTCGAGGATCCACGACCGACAACAAACACCGTTGCACTCAGCCAAACCGAGCTCAACAAACTAAAGGCTCAGATGATGAAGGCCAAGATGAAAAAGGCCCCCGAGGCCGCCCAACTAGAAGCCGAGTACAACGCCGCTCTCGCAAACACATCCAGCTCCAAGGACCGCGACGTTGTCGTTCTGAATGCCATGGACAACCGCATGCTCGCCGGCGGCCGCCAGGGCGAAGTCATCGCCCTGACCAACAAGCGCGGCACCGAGCGTGGACTCGTCAAAGAGAACGAGGACATGTCCATCGACGACATGGTGCGCCAGGAAAGGCGAACCAAGAACCAAGCCGGCGGCGAAGGCCAACTGCTTGCAGAGCGCATCGCAAAAGACACCAAATTCGACAACGACCTCGACTACATTGACGACAATGCTGCCAAACTCGCCGCGCGCGCCCCCAAGTCGTCCATCAACCTCCGCAACGCCGCCATCCAAGACTACACAAAGATGAACCGCATCCTCGACTCCTGTCCCCTGTGCCACCACGAAGACAAGTCCCCGCCACAACCTCCCGTTGCCCCCATTGTCTCCCTCGGCACCCGCGTGTTTCTGACGCTCCCCACCGAACCCGAAGTCAGTACCGGCGGTGCCGTCATCGTGCCAATCCAGCACCGCACTAACCTGCTCGAGTGCGACGACGACGAGTGGGAGGAAATGCGCAACTTCATGAAGTGCCTCACGCGCATGTACCACGACCAGGGCCGCGACGTCGTCTTCTACGAGAACGCGGCTTTTCCCGCACGAAAGGGCCACGCCGCCGTGAACGCGGTGCCGATTCCATTTGAGCTGGGCGAAACGGCGCCAGCCTTCTTCCGAGAAGCGATTCTGAGCCAGGCCGGCGACTGGACGCAGCACAAGCCGCTTGTGGATACGCTAAAGGCGTCACGGAATGGGCTGGGGAGAGCGGCGTTCCGCAAGAGCTTGGCAAAGGAGATGCCGTATTTTCATGTTTGGTTTGAGCTTGATGGCGGACTGGGGCATATCGTTGAGGATGAGCGCGCGTGGCCGAGGGGCGATCTGTTTGCCAGAGAGGTGCTGGGCGGCATGTTGGATGTGGATGTTGACATTGTCAAGAGACAGGGCCGGTGGGTCAAGGGGGATAGACGGGTAGAAGGGTGGAGGAAAGGATGGAGGAAGTTTGATTGGACTAGAGTACTTACCGAAGGGCAGTAAAAGTGCCATGATGGAAAACGAGATTTGTTGTTTGGCAGGCTCAAAAGAATAAATTACATTACGAACGAGACTCAAAGGCACTTTGTTTCGTCTATCCTGTACTTTGCTGACTTGCAAACGGAGAATCATCGCTCGCTTCCTAAACGCTTCCCAGACATTTGTGATATACCAACTCTGACACCACTACTCTCACTACTACCATCACAACAACTCCTCTTCGTGCCTAATACACACTCGTCTGCCCATGCGTAGTTGATACCAGGTCCATGTTGCCCCCCACACATTACAGCAGTGCACTCCAGAATGCACAAACAAAACCTCTTCTGCTTGATCACGCACCCTTTTTACTCTAAGGACAGACTAAACCCACCAAGTAACTAACGCTCTTTTTTTTTCGTGCTGACAAGATCAGACTGGTGAGCCTTCACCCGTCCTCCCTTTGCCGCCGGGCCTGTGGTCAAGCACACCAACACGCAGGAGCAAACGACGACCACATTTCCCAAAACAAAAAGCCCAGGGTATCAGGAAGTTGGGGCATGATTAAGCGAAATCGGCCGAGTAGGAGAAACCACGGAACTCTTCTTGCATGGCTTGCGAAAGAACTGCATGTGTCGTCAGCAAAGATTCGTGCACACTGCATACATGATTGTGAACACATACCAGACTGCACAGGTGTAAGTACAGGCGTAACACTCGTAAACTCGGTGTCGAAGTTGCTGGTATCCGTCGGGCTTGTAATTTGAGGAATGAAGGGTGGCTGCACTCTCTTGTGGTAGATGTCGTCCCAGTTGATGTTCCTGAAAAAGGCGTGAGACATGATCTCTTGTGCGTCAGTCGGCCCAGATCCCAGTCGCATCTCAGGCTCGCGGGTAAGCAGCTTCTGAAGGATTGATACCGAGTCGCGTGGCATGTGAATGGGATAAAGAGGCTCGTCGGCAAGAATGGCGTCGTAGATTTCGTCTTCGTCCTCACCACGGAAGGGTGATTGTTGAAGGAGCATTTGGTAGATGAGGACACCAAACGCCCACCAGTCGACCGCGCGTCCATACTTCTTGTCCAAAAGAATCTAGAGATGCAAATTAGCCACGCGAATGCTAGGTTGAAACATGTCGCTTACCTCGGGCGCCATGAACTCAGGAGTACCACAGAAGGTGCTGGTGGTTGAGCCGTACCACATTTCCTCTTTGCACAGACCGTAATCTGCCACCTTGATGTGTCCATCCAGGGTAAGCATGATGTTATCGAGTTTCAAATCGCGGTAGATGACACCGTTCTCGTGGAAGTACTTGAGGGCGAGGCAGACTTCGGCGGCGTAAAATCTGCACCAGCATTAGCAAATGATCCTTGACCCAGGGTACGACAACATACTGCGCACGCTTGGTGCCGAATTGACCTCTCTGAATGTGCAACATCAAATCACCACCACTAATGTACTCCATGACGAAGTACACTCGAGTCTCGGTCTGGAAACAAGCGTGTAGGTTCAGCAAGAAGGGATGCCTCTCCTTGTTTGCAATCAAGAATACTCTCTTCTCCGAGCGCGTGCTCTCCACTTCGTCATTCTCGATAATGAACTCCTTCTTCAGAACCTTGATGGCGTACAGTTGCTTGGTGGTCTTTGTCTCTGCCAACATGACTTTTCCAAAGTTACCTTTACCCAGCACAGCAAGAAAGTTGAAGTGGTCCAATCCTATCCTCTTGCCAGTGCCCTGTGTGTTGGCTGCGGGCGTAACCTTCTTTCCTGGTGCTTCGACCGCTGCGGATGGTGGAGGTTGCTTGGGTGGCGACTGTGGTTCCTGCATCTTCGGTTGCACAGGCATTGCTGGTTGCTGTGGTGGTGATTGTGGTGGTGGTGGTGGTTGTGGCAGAGGATACGAGGATTTAGTGGGGTAGGATGGTACAGGTGCCGGCTGCTGGTGACTTGGTGGGTAGCTTGGAATGTTAGCGTAAACCGATGGGTCATACGTTGCCGGCTGGGGCGCTTGTTGCTGTGATGTGCGTTGCTCTGTCTGATAATTACTGCCCGACGACCTGGCGCTTGGCGGTTGGTAGTCAGTGTTGCTACGGCCATATCCCGGTTGCGTGGTCTTGTTCATTGCTGCCGCTGCCGCTGCCACTGAAGACTGAGTGCGGGGACCCGAGGGAGGTCTTGATGAAGTAGGCGATGTCGGTGCTCCAGTGGAGCCAGTTGTCGAGTATGAGGCGCGCGCCGCATCGACGGATGTGGCCGATGAAGGGTAAGATGGCTGACGTGGAGGGCCAGGCGGAGGGCTCATCTGCTCCTTGCCGTAAGAGTATCTGTCAGTTTGGGATTGAGATTCCTGACCCGGCTCTCCAGGAGATTGAGGCTGCGCCGCTGGTAGCGGCTTTGTCGATGGTGTTTGGCGCAAAGTGCGCTGGCTCATGCCAGGGCCCGACGAGGATTGCCCTCTTCTCGTTCTCTTGATCTCCATCAAAATCTGATTGGCCACCTCCATAGACATGCCGCAAAAGTCGGGTACAAAGTGAACACAGTGGGCGTGACAGGTGAGACCACATTCTACAGCAGAGTTAGCGGAGGGTTGTCGTTAGTACGCGGCATGATACGCACCATTACACTTTTTAGTCTGCTTTCGGCCAAGCGGGAGGACATAACCGCAGTGACAGCACCAGTTGGCTCCCATGTTGGAGAAGTTTTCAAAACGATGCGGAATGCGGTGGTTAAGCTTGGCCTCGTCGGGGTCCGTCTCGGCGTTGGACTGGGTGATGCACTTGGTGACGACTTTGGGGTAGCACTTTTTGTGACAAGTGTAGTTGCAGTCGGAGCACTGCATTCCGGCAGCATACTTGAGAAATTCGCCACAGAGGGCGCAGCGCATAACGTTGTAGAACTGCTGCTGGACGAACTTGTGTCCATACTGCTCAACCACATCCTCTTTGCGCTGACGGACGGCGCCCTTGCGACCAAGACCAAGGTCAAAGGGCTGTTTGTTGCCCGTGTTCTTGATAAAAGACATGGTGAGATGGATACGGCCGACAGGCTCCAGTGAGAACCAGTCGTCGATCATGATAGGCCCAGTCTGTGGCTGTGGAGCACCCGGAGGTCGCACGCCAGCAGGAGTAGGGCCTCCGCCCGGGGCACCAGCAGAGGCCTGGCCCGGAGGCGGCTGAAACTGCATGTCGGGCTGGATTCCAGGACTTCCTCCCATCTTGTCGGCAGCTACCCAGCCAGAGTTTGCGAGCTCCGTCTCAATTTTTTTCCTACGCATCTCCTCGGCGATGTCTGATATGCGCACCCACAGCATACCAATAGGCAGGAGATGATCGCCTGTCTTGTCGTATACCGTGATTTCAATCTCGTTGGCCTTGTCAATGCTGAAATCATGGACTTCGTCTGTCCAGCGATCGTTGCGTGTGGGCTTGGTACGGCCCTTGATCGCGTCTTCGACCTTGATGTTAACAAAGGTTTCCGGGCCTCGACTGAAGCGCCCAGTGGCTGCGTGATCCACGTCGGCGACGGCGTGTATACGTAGGGACAGTTGACCGCTCAGTGGTTTTCTTTGGCTGGGGATGTCGAGGCTGTCGTCTGCGTCATGGTTAGTATCCGAGAAGACGCCGTGTTTTTCTTGTCTTTTCAGTGGAGCTTACTGTCGTCGCCCTCGCCCTCAATATCGACATGCAGATCCTCGTAGCGCTTCAAAGAGTGCTTCAGCAGCTGGATCTTCTGGTTACTCTCAATGCGCTTGGCTTCTGCGTCCTGTTTGCTCTTGCGGTCGCCTTCCATCTGGTACAGGCGAACCATCTTCTCGATACCATCCTTGTATTGCTTCTCCACACTGAGCTTGAATTCGAGCTGCGTCAACATGAGCTGGATGCGGGGACCAAGATGCGGGGTGTCATATTTGATCAGGTCTGCGCATGTCAGCGAGGCACACGGCGTGAGGCGGTTCAGCGGCACATACCCAGCTTGCTGTAGTTGGGTCGCTTGTTGGGAGCACCGGGTGGCGGCTGAGCGTAGGGAGCGCGGGGAGGCTGCAAAGCGTCTCCTCCGCTCAACTGGCTGTACTGGCTCTGGGGGCCGCCGTAGCTGCCCTGGTCCTGCTGCGAGTAGCCGTCCCAGCCGTCCTTTGGAGGGGGGGTTAGCGGGTTGTTGGGGCTGTGGCCCGTCTGCAGCGACATGCTGTCGACGCCCGACGTGGTGCGGTGCAGGTCGAGGTCGCGCAGCTTGGACTCGAAGTAGTCAATGTTTCTCCGGCCGTCCTTGATCTGCCCGTCGAGACGCGAGAGCACGGCCGGGTTGTTGGTCGACTGGCGCATGGCATTGGCGGCGTTGATCAGGGCTCTTTCGCGGTCGATTTTGCGCTGCACGTTGGCAACGGTCTCGTCGACGTTGGCCATGGCGGGCGGTGTTGGGTCAGGACACTTCGGCGAAGAAGGCGGACGGCGTCGTGTTCTCCGCCGACAGAGAGGGGCGCGGCGTGCTCAGATGCCTGGCCTCTGCAAGGCTTTGGGCGGGCAGGCGGGCAGGCAGCCAGGGCAGCCAGGCAAGCAGACGGGCAGACGGGCAGGCGGGCGAGGGTGCGGGCAGCGTGCGTATGTAAGCGGCACAGAGAGCCGCTGCAGCGCGTCGGCAGCAGGCGATGGGGCGCGTGTGTGTATGGGCGAGAGGGCTGGGGTCAATGGCGGAATGGTGCTGTGGTGATGTCGTCGGGTAGACAGTGATTTAGCTCACGCATAGGGCGGCTTAGCGGAGCCCCACTTTGCTCCCCTCTCTGCGTGGAGTGAGTGTGGCGTCGGCGTCGCAAGGGGGGGAGTGGGTGGAAGCGCGGCCGTGTGTGCGGGTGTGTATCGTGGGCATGGCCTTAACATTAATGTACTTACATGTGCCGTGCGCTGGTATGCCGCTGCTTTGTTTGCGCCTCTGCTGCGCCCGAGTCTGAGACTGGCAGATGTTATGACGACGCGCCTGTCGGGACGCTGGCCAGCCAGTCAACGGCCGGGGCGTGGTGGGGAAGGGGCGACCAAGCCAGCAGCAGCAGCAGCCCGTCATGGCGGGGTGGACGCTCACTCTCACTCTCTCTCACACACTCACACACACACTCCCTCTCTCCCTCATTCTCTCACCCACCCACCCACCCACCCACCCACACATACACATAAACTCTGCCCCCCACGCCCGCCCGCCCCCTCCCGGCCACATGCTCATCACAAATACACCGCCTCGTATTGTCGCGCCGTCTTCTTCCTCGTCATCGGGCCTCGTATCTATGCTCGACCGCTGCCCCCCATTGTTTTGGCCCAATCGGGCATCGACGCTCGGCGGATGCAACGCCTGATGTTCTGCGTGTACGAGCCTTGGCCCCAATCACACATGGCACAGCAGCGCTCCATCCAGCATCAATGGCCCTGCAGCCGCCTTCGTCCCGTCTCCATCGTTTCCATCGTTTGCCAACACCACCACTTGCTTACGCTTTTCCTCCATTGCTTTGCCCGTCGTTGCCCCGAGCCCCTCCGCAACCGGTACCGGATAAAGGAAGCATCAGGACCTACCACATGACGCTGCCCATCAGCAACGGCATGTTGCCCATCATTGGACGCCTGCTGTTATGCGTCGTCCTTGTCGCAAAGCATAAAGGATGATCGCAATTTCCTCGCTTCCCAGCTCATCCCAGTCGCACACAGCGTCGCGTTACAGTAGACACAGAACATCGCCTCATGGTACGAGCGAAATTTCAGCTGTACTACTCATGCGATTCCCACACCTGCCATATCCATTTCTCGAGCTACATCCACAAGAACATTGGACTCTTCTTACCCGGGATACCGATATTCGCATTTGTCTGAACACATACCAACCATGTCTCAAGAGCCTGGATGCCAAATCTACCGCAAGTATCACTAGCCGAACTGCTTCAATCCTGATATCCTGGATGGCCGCATGAATTCTTCTCCCAATTAGGGCATATTGGGCTGCTGGCCAAAGTAACGGCAAACAGAGGGTGTACCAAGCCTTGAATACACGAGGTACGTCACTATGACCATGACAGCCTAACATGGCACCAGCAGCCACGACTTTCAAACTTCTACTCAACATACCTTCACGTGGATCAGCCACCTAATGACGAACATACAATATTTCATCACTAAAATACTGCCATGACACTTACGGGTCCTGCATCCTGCCATTGAGACACTTTCCTCGTACGACAGGATTGCTTCCAGTTGCGCTGCAGTTGCACAGACGAATACGTATCAAAGGTACTGTGCACCCTAATGAGACAATACCGAAATAAGATGCCTTCCATACTGTGCAAATACAAGCAACACAGTCACAGTACGCGCTACATGGACACCGGGAGCTCTCACGGAAAAGGTTGCTATGCACGAATATTTGAATACTCCATAAATTTGGACTGATCTCTTTCATACATGGTGTCCGCAAATTGGCGTTTCCGCATGCAAATCGTGTCTAGATCAGGATACGTTAATACGACGGCCTGCTTTTGGACACACCCCGTTTCTCCTGGCACTATCGTTCCAAAATGGAACACCGCCAGCTCCCTCGTTTCCCTTCTGGGCCTATCCAAAGGCTGCCAAGGCGACTCCTTCAGAGCTTGCCCCTGTGCCAGAACGTATCTTCTCAGCCTCCTGTCGATCACGTCTGACTGCATGCGATTGTGTTTCGCTTCGAGAAATGACTTAACATTCCATGGGCGTGTTTTCTGGAGGTTGATCACGCTCACTCTGCAGCCATGGCCCCAAAATAGTTCATCCCCAAACCTTCTTCCCACTTCCCGTCGCTGACATACATCCGAAGCTGGCTTGGGCATCGGCACGAGACTACACACCATCTCTCGGATTTCCATCTGTGCTATCTGAAACTGGACACGAGTGTTGGTGGGATCGCAGAATGGTGGTTGCATTCAAGCGAGATATGCACGCACCCTTATCCACTACTTACTCAGGGTTGGTCGGCACCCAAACGAGTCATGGCAGGCTGTTTCTGTCATATCTTGGTCAGCCAGCTACGGCTTCAGCCACACGTTTATACCAATTGCAGTCAACCGCTTTCGACAACTACCGCAAGTGCCGGAATAGTTGCAGTCAAATCGCACTCCCAGAACGCCATAGTACGTTTGAGACGAGGCGACTAGGCTTTCTAGAAACACTCGGCTTCGAAATTCCCGTAGACTGGTATCCAGACATCGGTCCCACATTATTGGAACCAACAACAAACGTATACACCTACAAACATGATTGTTGTTGCTTTGGCCTACTCCATGACTCTGGTTGTGCACCCTCGGCAATTTCCCAAGTTCCAAAAGTCCACTGCATGCGGCACCGTCTTTGAGTTTGGCTCTTACCAGTCCACCACCTTTCTAATGTATGAGAACAGTATGCAAAGCATTCACGTTGAAGAAACGCTGAGGCGGTGCTCGTGACGAGCGTCCTATGCAATCAAGTATTGGCGTGTTTGGATCATCAATGGGTGCATATCATTGCAGAATGGAGAAGACCGGCCTCGCCTATGGAACGCGGAACTGCGAACTGCATGCTGTGCAACCGTGACTTTCGTCGGCACTCACGACTTCCTCTGCTATCTGGAGCTCCATGCCAGTGAAACACACCCTTTCGAAATTCTATCTCTTTACGGCAAAATGTAATCGGAAAAAGATCTGTACCCAGCCGACCAGTCTTGTCTATGTGATGAGTATTCATTCAGCCAATGGTGTTGGTATCGGAAACAGGACTTGTCCAATTCACGCATGTTTGTTCCGACTACACGCCAATTAGCCCCCCTATCTTGGATTTGAGTATTTTGCCATCACCCACTTAGCCACACTGCTCGTGACAAGAAGTGGCGTTCCGAGTAGACAGGTCAGGAATAAGATATTCGATTCGGACCTTTTGTGGGACATGGCGGGAGGGAACGTGTGGCTAACGCGAGGCTTGCTAGTGACAAGCGATACCCGGATTACCATCAACCAGTGCGGCTGACCCTTGAGCCGTTCCCCATTGTCCTAAGGAAATGCGGATGTGAAAAATATGGAGAAGGCCGGGAGAAGGGTGAGCACGCCTAGCCAAGAGATTTTCCAGTCATCATCGGCAAGGTGCGTAATGAGGTAATAGCCGAGCTGTAAATCCTAAACAAGTCACTGTAACAGGTGAGCGGTATCCTTACCGAGATACAGGGTTAGACCCTGAGATACGTCAAATGTGCATACGATTTAGGTGTACGGCTCGCCTATGTCAGTACCGAAATGTCTTTGTGTTCCAAGATCGTGGTTCAGCCGCACTTCGTCACCGGCCGGCACTTTCAGGCCGCCCGCCCCGGCTACTAACCACAACTTGGATACGCCCGACACGGCTCATGTTCCGGTATGAGTCGTTGTGCCTGACTGGTAGGATTCCATAAGCCATCTCAGGACCCGACAAAAACGGATCTACGTGGGTCTCTCTCTTGCGTTCTCGCCCAAGACCAATGCAAATATCAAATTGCTCCATGGTCGGGGGGCGGCTGCTGATGTGGCACGGGAGATCGTCCACAGCAAACTGATATGCGTCTGATCTCCTCTCCCAGTCGAGTCTTTTCTCATCCACACTTTGGTTAGTTGAGCCTTGTCCTTGGATACAATGACTTGGCGAACGCTCACTTTCCTATAATACACATGTGATGCCTTAGGATCTCCTTTTAGTCCTTCGTCATCCTTGAGTATTGCTGCTTTCCCATCTTTTTCTCCTGCCCACCTTGTCCTGCAGGAACCCGCACCCACAGAGGAGAAGAGTCCAACATGCCTTACTTCGGGGACAAGGCACCAAACCTGGCTGCGTCCATCATCTCTTTGGCCGCCATTGCCTATATTACCTTCGGTTTGCGGGTCTACACCAGGCTTCATAACAGAGCTTGGGGCCTTGATGATTGGTCCATGACTCTAGCAACCGTGAGTCACTGTTCACTGCCGTGTATTACGGCGAATTCGCTGACAGTGAGGCCCTCAGCTTCCTTTTACCGCACTGACGATATCATGCATTGGTGGCTCATTCAGCGGCGTCGGCATCCATGATAGTCGGCTAGAACCAGAGGAAAAGGTCCAGGGATGCAGGTATGTGCCCACATACGAATGCAACAACCGGTACTGACATGGACAGTTTTTCTTTTTCTTCGAAGTCTTCTATTGCGCGGCCATTATCCCGATCAAACTCAGCATTTCCTTCATGCTCATACGCATTGCCTCAGGCAGAACAAGATATATATCCAGCTTGTATGCTGTGTCTGCCATGTTCGTCATTATGAACCTCATCGCCTTGTTATACATTGTTTTCCAATGTGCCCCAGTGTCGTACGCTTGGGATACATCGACACCAGGGGGGAAATGCAATCCCGCGCAGACGCTTGCCGACATCTACTATGCAACGACTGCAGTGAACATTGCCACGGATTGGTTTTGTGCGCTGTTGCCCGTACCGCTTCTGTGGAACGTGCAACTCAACCGCAACGCTAAGCTTTCCGTCGGCGTCATTCTCGGTCTGGGAGCCTTGTAAGTTTGCCCTCGCTTATCTCGTGAACATGATCGCTGAACCAATGCGTGGCAGAGCAAGCTTGTCCGCATGCGTTCGCCTCATCTATACGGTCAACCTGACGAGTTCGACCGACTATCTTTGTGAGTTGACTTGCTCTTGCTGATTTGTTTTGCCTACGCATGTGCTAACGGTCGTGACAGACGGTGTGTCCGATGTGATTCTCTGGGGCTACGCCGAAAACGGCGTCGGAATGATTGTAGGATGCGTTGCTACACTCCGCCCACTGCTGCAGCGCGTCCTCAAACTTGGGAGCAACGGCAGTTCGGACCCGTACCAAACACCCGCAGTAGGCTATATAAAACGCCCGACTGTCAAGGGCCATCTGAGCGGCAGAGACGAAGAATGGGTCGCACTGGACGACGGCCAGATGGTGAACACGGTACGCGGACAGGGCAGCCTGGGAAGCGAAGAGTACATACTACCTATGAAGGGTAACGGGATCCATGTCACCAGCACAGTAGAGCAACGATCAAGCTCAGCACGGAATTAAAAGACCTGGACGCACGAGAAAGAGAAGAAAAAGGGGAAGAAGAAAAACTATAGACGATGAAACCATGACTGATTTTCTTGCATCAAGCACAATTCACATTTAATCGACTTGATCACACGCTCGTCGTCTTCTTCCCACCAACATAGCAATCATCGCTATTCAACGCAATGGTTATAAGGCCGACTGGACTGAACTATCAACCTACTAGCCTGCAGCCCCATGTATACACCCGCCAAAAGCAACGTTTACCAGAAAAGAAAAAGGAGGCGAGGGACGGGGCGAGGGACCGCCAGTATTAAACTTTCTAGCTTGTTAAGAAAAAGTTCAACGGCTACGCGCCCACCAGGAAAAGCGCAATGCAAAGCAGCGCCCCCTTTCTCCCACCGGATCGGATGGGGGAAGCCACACCACCACGCTTACCGATATTACCGGCTAAACCCGGCAGCAGCCACCACTAAGGGAAAGCTGCGCCGCAAGCGAACGTCTATTTTCGCTCTTTTTGTTTTGTTTTTACCCGGGTGCAAAAGCCGATGGATGCATGGAAGGGAGTGGGATGGAGGGATGGCGTAGCGCATGTGTCGTCCCTGAGACGTGCAGCCACAGCAGCAAGGGCACATGCAGCATGCACCCTTTTTTATTATTTCTTTTTTCTTTTTTCCCCTCGGGCTTCAGAAGAGCGTCTTCCGACGACGATCTGTAGTATGTCATTTTTTTTTCTTCAATTGGCCCTTGCAAGCAGTTTCTAGGGCTACGACGTCGGCGGCTGCGAGAGCGGCTACACTTACATGTGGTGGTGGTAATGACTTGGCGAGGCGTTTGAGCGAAAACCGCCAAGTAGGGTAGGGTAAGACATCTATTCACTCAACGTTGATATTTTTTTTCTTCGTGTGAAACTTGTAAATGTAATTATACAAGACATCTAACGAACGACGGGCTACATCTGTACGAGCAAAGCTCGAAAGTGAAAACCGGTCAGCGTGGACTGCATTGCCTGATGCTATGCTGTGGTGAGGGATAGGTGGGTGGAGAAGGGGGGGGGGGGCGGAAATCATCTCGTTCTGCTCCCGTCCCGTCCCCGTCTTACACACCCACACACACATCTGCTGCCTGTTGCCGATCGGGCTCCTATTTCCCCATTCTGCATCCCGTACTCTATTTCCTGAAGCGTTCTAGATGAGGGTGGGAGGGTATGAGTGAAAGCATGTGGGATTTTGTTGGGGGGCCGTGCAGCTTGTTCCATGCAAGCGGGTGGGAGTGCTTAACAAGGCTTACATCAATACCTGCTTGCCTGATGATGACGGGTTCCGCGGTACGGGGATCGGTGGTGGTTGCTTGTATTGGAAATTGGTGCCCATGTGGATTCATCGTGGCTTTTTTGCAATGTCGTGACAAGGACAGGGGGTGCATCCTGGGATCGAGATGGGATCGGATGGGTGGACCGAAGTCGTCTAGGGAACTTTAGGTGTATATACTGTGTGGTCAAATGGTTGCTTGGTATGTAGCCCACCTTGCGAGGTATTGGGTATTTACGACGCTGATAATTTGAATATCAGCTTGTTGCTTGTTCAACATGTAATTGATAGTTGAGCAAGTACATGATACTTTTCACTCGAAGCATAGAGTGAACAGCCTCCTGTGCCTTGCTCAAACATTCTTCCACTAGCTAAGACTGATCAAGCTTTAGAAAGGCGTGCTTAGCAGCTACCCCGTATTGGAAGGACGGAAGTGTGGCTACTCTCGCTGGTGAAGAGTGGGAAGATTGTAGGTATCAAGGCCTCATTCTGGTATGCCGAGGTACGTTTCCTGGTCATATATGAGCTCCTGGGTGCCTGGAACGACGAAAATGTACACGTTTACTTCTGAATCATAAGCACGACCCTGAGTATACCCGGTGCGTGGCGATGTGAACTGGTAGTGCGCAAGCCACAGATACCCAGTTGTGGACATGTGCTTGATTTTCAGCACCCTTGCTATTCATTCATAATCCAAGGAACAAGTTCACACACAAGAAATTTTCTGATTAGTTCAGGGGCCAATGAGGAGGATAGGCGAAGAACACTCTATCTATCACGAGACGGAGAAAACAGCGCTTTGAGCCAAGGGACTCGCCTTTTGTTTGGAGAAGAGGCAGGCGTAAGGAGTTTTTTATCCGCTCAATTAAAAGAAATGGGAACCAAGTAACGCCTTCCAGTGGTTTTGATTCAAGATTCCCCGTACCGGGGATACGCTTTGCTCCTATTCGTGTAGGACTGGTGAACTCTCAGAGGAAGGGTTCTAGCTACACATCCCCAAGATCACATGATTGTCATGTAATGTTACCTCTTTCCTAGCAGTCACAGCTCGCGCTAGATTTCACAAGATATCTTTACCATGCCCTTCAAAGACGCCAAGCGTGATCTGATATATCGAGTGTGAGAGTACGTTAAGCACGACTGTCAGAATCATTTGTTCATTATTTAGGCAATTCCCACCACAATAACGCTATACATTTGCCGTACTGACATGCTCAGCCGGACTAACGGTGTATTCTTCATCGAATTGCTGCTACTCAGCTTACTAAGGAAGGCGGTGATGACATTCCGTAACTTTATCGACACCTGATCAGCCTTCGCTGGCTTGACAGCATCTACTGATGAAGTACGTAATATTTAAAGCGCCTGCTTCCAAGGCAGCAACCCATCGATGAAAGCTTCAAATACTAGCTTGCAGGATCCAGACAAGCCAGGTAGGTGGTAGGAATCAATGCCACTCAGCGATACTTCTTAGTGTACGAACAATCGTTCATTCTCACAGCACACCAAGTGTGTAAAATGTACTGAAACAAAGAGGCGATCAAAGAAGAAGATGATTGCATTAGCAGCTTGTCATTTCTGCTGACACTATACAATAGTCCAGAGGGTTTGGTGTAGGTGAGTGGAGGATTCGAGAAATGTGTGGGACGAGTGCTGAAATGCCGATCGCAAGCGCGACAGCGATATCGAGTTTTTAAGGCTTACATGTTAGAGAGGATGTAATGAAGTGCAAGGATGGATCAAGAATAGTGCGTGAGTGACATCTGATACTATTGGTCGAGGTCTACCTTGATGATAGAGGAGAATGTGGATGAAGTAATTGAGCGGTAACGATACAGAAGTTCTACTCTCTGTTTACACTGTTACTCGAGTAGCTACAACAGCTTCTTGCAAGGGAAAGTACGTATAAAAGCCGCACGAGTAGGTTTAGAAACAGGGTTTTTGTAAATCAAATATATTGAAAGATTTTTTATGCCTTCAAAAAACAAATGCACAGAGCCAGCCCATCACAGTATTCCGTTGCGTCAAGTAATATATTAAGTTACATGAGAAAAGTAAGTATAACAAAAGTGCGGATAAATAAGAATACGATCAATTGCAGGAGTGTCTGACACAATTTTATCCTTAACCAAACGCTGATAGTAACAGCTTAAGGGCATTCATGTGTGCTATTACCCACCCAGGATTGGCCATAGTATCGCGGGTGAAAAGACAGTTGATAGAGCTCTCGTTTAAGAGAGGTCTAGCAGCAACTATAGCAGCTCTAAGTCCCAAACACAGGATTATACGAAAGTATCCCTATTGCAATGTTAGTGCCAGATGAGTGATAATGTGAATTGATCATGTGAGTTATCGCATTGTGACGAGAAGTCAAAGAAGGAGCGGATGCAAGTAGACCTTCGTATAATCCAAGTTTGCAGAGTCGTGTAGAATACTAGTCCTTCCTCTCGTATACAAACGTCTCTTGGTGTATAATATCAGATAGTGAAACTCTCCACAGTCACCAGTGTAACCGCTCAGCCACAAAATAGATGTAGGCTGTATATTAAGGCTTTTGGCGGTCACTGCCTTCGAACCCGTCCAATTCAGCTCTTTTTCCAATTTGATTGACTGGATCAGAGCTCTAGTTTCAAAGTAGAGCGAGAAACCAAGTTTTTTATTAAGTCCTCCACTAGATGAAATCAATCACCCAGGCATACCAAAGAATACATAAGCATCACTGAGGTGAAAAGATGAATTCAGGTACACAGTGGTCTGGATTCGTTCAAGATATGGGCGTTCCCTGTGAATTTGCACCAACGCACGACTTAATGTCAACGTGTAACTCAGAGGTGCTATTGATAATACATCCAACTGTCTCGCAGCTGGGTAAGAAGATATTACATATATATGCAGAGAAAGATATCAAATTTTATGAAAACCAAGAAAATTTTCACCGACACTGCTGTCACGTTCTCTTCATGAAATTGATACACCGTTTGATTTCCTGTCCAAAGCCAAAATATGGCATGTATGCAAGCGGCTTGAACTTGGAAGTAGGTTCTACACTTCGACTCATTGAAGTGGTCCATATACTGACGGTATGATGGACACAGTTTTCAAGCGTTGACAGGATGGCTTAGGTATTCATTCGTACACCTTTTTCTTAGTTAAAGGTCGATTTAGAACTTCCTTCATAACTGGAGGGAATAAGCGGTAACTCAGGCATAATTTCTTCAAAATCCGTGTCTGTTCTTGCGCTGGCTGGAGGAACTAATATATAGCGTTCATGCTCAATCCCATATAGATGTATCTAGAATCAAGGGGAGGTAGGCGTAGTGAAATCTATACCTGGAGAATACTTCATCTTCAAACATTGCAATCGTTAATTTAGAAGAGAGTGGGCTCCGCGATTATAATATAGGAGAGAAGAAATTCATATTAAAAAGACAGTACTATAGTCCTCCTGTCCTACCATTCTAGCATGGAGACTTCCGAAAAGCCTACAACAGAGGCTCTCAATCAAAAACATCCGTAGCAAAACGCTCATTACGCAAGCCCTCAAACCACGACCTCGCCCTCATATCATCCACCTCCCTACCCTCCTTTTCAAGTAATCTCTCCTTTGCAATCCTAATCAGCACTTCCTGCACGCCTTCGCCCACATCACGCGATCCACACACGAACACTTTGGCGCCTGCTTCGAACTGCTCGACAACATCGGCGCGGTCGTGATAGATGCGGTCCTGGACATACTTGCAGTCGTGCGACTCGTCGGATTGACGCGAGAAGGCAAAGCGAAGCGAGACGGCACCCATTTCCTCCCACCGCTTGAGCAAGTCCTTGTAGAGGAGATCGGTCGCAGGAGAGCGGCAGCCGTAGAAAAGGATAGCAGGAGCCAGCTTGCGACCAGCGGCTAGCTGTGCAGCACGCTCTTGAATGAAGCCTCGGAAGGGCGCCATGCCTGTGCCTGCTGCAATCATGATTACAGGTACGCTCTGAGCGTCTTTGGGAAGGTGGAATGCCTGATGCGAAGGGCGCACACTGACGTGGAGCTTGTCGCCTGGCGCGAGCTGCGCGAGATAGTTTGTCGCGACACCCACGTAGCGTCCTTGCCCACTCAGGGCGGGCCGGTTGACAACTGAATACGTCAAGGTGACGTGGTTCGAGTTCCAGAGCGGCGAAGAGGAAATAGAGTATTGTCGGACGCGCATGGGTGGTTGCATCTTCAGGAAGACTCCAAGGGGTAGCTTGGTGGATGGGAAACGCTCCAGCAGATCTAGGACAGATACACGCTTTGCAGTGATGTCGGAGCTGAAGGCTTCATCCGCGAGACGAGCGAGCTCCTTCTTTTCGGTCTCATCTCGGGTGCTTTCGAGAAGAGCGTGAACATTGCGCTTGCTGGCGGGTTGAGCAAGTTCCACATACGCTGAAAGGACGTCGACAGCGCTAATGGACGTGTTGGTTGGTAGTGTGGTCGGACCAGCAGAAGTGATGGTCAGCATGGCATCCCAAGGGAGGCCAAAGTACCTCATAGCACGATGCACATTCTCCTTGGGGTTGAGGGGTAGTACTGCTAGGTAATCACCCGCGGAATACGCCATATTGGATGGGAGGCTGATTTCGATATGCCTTTTCTCGTCAGCATCAGAGGTCGAAAGAACCTCAGTCTCCTCGACGCGAGCCTCGCGAACATCTTGGCGAAGCGTCGACGACCTTGGTGCGGTAACTTCAATGTCCAGCAAAGTCTCCAATGAGCCATCGCCGTCGGCCTCTGCAGAACCGTATTTCTCGCGCAAAGCAGGCCATAGGACTTGATCTTCCCAAGTCTCAAAATCAGTAAAGATGTCTCCGGACGCGGCGTCAGTGCCGCCCATGTTGACCAACCTGGTCGCGCCTCGTTCCTCAAAGACAGTGTCGAGGTACTTGGGGACCTTGTGGAAAGTCTTGGCCCAATCGCGATGACCGCATCCGAAGACAGCATAGGAGACATTCTCAAGTTCATTGCCCTTTAACGAGCCGACCCAGTTGACAAAGTGCGCGGCATTGTCAGCAGGTGCTCCTTCGTAGGAAGCTGCTATAACAACGACGGGCTCATCTGCTGGAATATTGTCACGAGCCGTGTCCAGCGTGTTCACTACATCCGCCCTAAACCCATGGTTGGCTGCATCGCTTGCCAGCCGATTAGCAAGAGCTTCGCAAGTACCAGTATTGGAACCATAGTAAATTGATATGGGCTTGCCACTGGCAGATTGCTGCTTTGTGGCAGGTGCGCCGTCGGATGGAGGTGGCTTGCTCATGGCCGTTGATGACAGAGATCGCTCAAGCGAGGTAGCAGTAATGCCGCTCCGGAGATGTGCGCGCATGTAAAAGTCCTTTGGCTTGATAGTAAGGGTTTGCTTGATCTGGAGCTGGTACGACGCGTCCTCCATGGAGAAGTTGAAATTTTGCAGGAGAATAGCAAGGACCAGGAGAGCCTCTTGCCAGGCAAAGGGTCTGCCGATGCAGGCTCTCATACCGTTGCCGAAAGGCTTCCAGCAATTGGGAAATTGTTCATTGCGTCGCTCAAACTCTGCATCGAGCATCCGTTCTGGGCGGAATTCCTCTGCATCTTCACCATATGCAACAGGATCACGATGGATCTAGCGCAAGTGGATTAGCCATGTTCAAACACGCACGTGGACGATACTATCTTACCATTGGAAGTAGTGCAACAAGGGGGACGCCTGCTTTGACAGGGTATTTGCCGCCGATGGTAGTATCCTCTTTGGCAGTTAGGCCAATAGAAGGGGCAGTGGGCTGTAGGCGTAGGCTCTCTCGGAGCACAGCATTGAGGTATGGAAGCTTTGTCAAGTGATCAATCGTGATCGGGCCCTTGCCGATCACTTGGTCCACCTCTTGTTGTGCCTTGTTGTACGCTTCCGGATTCTTCAAGAGGAAGTAGAATGTAAAGGAAAGTAGACCTGATGTGGTTTCGTGGCCAGCGATTAAGAAAGTGATCATGTTGTCGATAACATTATCGTCCTGTTGGTGTTAGTCAAATGACGATGACAACTCTGGGAGTGTTTGACTTGCATTCATTTTCTCGCCCGTCTTTGGGTCTACACCGTTGAGCATACCATTGAGCAGATCCTTCTTGTTTGTAGGATTCTCTCTCCTTGTCTTGATAACATCCAGACTAGTCTTGCGCAGCAAATCGATATCTTTCCAGTATTTTTGAGTCTCAGCACCATAGAACATCTGCGAGATAGGGTCTCTTCTTGCTCGGTCTCCACTTGTCTTCAAGAAGTCGGCCATGGCATCAACAAAGGGATGCATGCGTTGGTAGTAATACGAGTTGAAGCGATAATCCATGGCACACAAAGCGATTGTGTCCAGTGTCAATCGAGTAAAGTCATCGGTGACGTGAATGGTGTGTTCAGCTCCGTGTCTTGCCCACTTCATGACGAGCTGAGAGGCGATGTCATGCATCTCGTCGAACATGTTGCGAATAGCAAGTGGACCAAGCTGTGGTAGCAGCACACGATGTGCGATACCCCAGTTCTTCTCCTGGGGCCCGTATGATGTGAAGAGGCCATCATGTACTCCGTTACGCACTTGCTCCAAGGATGCTGCTATAATTTTGGAGAAACGCTCTTCGTTACAGACCTCATCCATGTGAGCTTGATTTGCAACAACAATACGCTCGCCGCCAAGGTAAAACTTCCATATTGGGCCTGAAATGGTCAGCAAGCTGCTCAGAGGCACCGGAATCAGCGTCGTGTATCGCCTGGCACCACTTGGGAAGTCATGGATTCAATCAAGGTGATGACATGTTGGTCGTAGTCATGACGTATGTTGGAAATACACACTGGGATGGTGTGGGGAGGGTCCTGGGACAGCGGCTTACCATATTTCAAGGTCAAGTTGCACATTGATTGTATAGGGTTGGTTGCGTCAATGTCTGCAATATTGCCAACAAGGGGCAGGCCTGGAGGACCAGGGATCGGTTCGGTCTTCATTATAGCGGTTCCAAGGCAAAAGAGAAGTCAAGTGTCAGGACAAAGTAGGTGTGAAGGAGAAGAAGGGGTATAGACGACGTTGAAAAAAATTGGTTGCAAGAGGCAGAAGGGGCGAGTATCGAGGCCTTATCTACGAGGGACGAGGAGCAGGGAAAGACAACCAGTGTCATACCACTTTGACCAAGTGACAGGTTAGACGACAATGGGGCTCTTGGCGCGTTCCGAGTAATATTTTTCTCATACGTTGGGACCCTATAGATGCTTGGTACCAAGATGCCTCGGTCGAGAAGAGAACGAAAGGGCTGTGATTCGCTGTTGGTGATGCGTGTGTTGGTGCGTCGTCGGGCTCCACGTCGAGGGGTGGACTAACGGCGGAGGCTGGAGCATGTGCGAGACGCTAGATGCGCAAAGGCATGTTTGGCGAGAACGGACGTAGCGATGTTGTGAAGAGACGACGGGTACGCGATTGAGAGGAGGTGGCTGGTCTCGTGTGGTAGCTGAATGGTTGGGGCGTGGGCATTGACGTTACGATACTGCTACCAGGCAGCAGACGCGAAGGCGCATCGGTGTTGGGATGGCATGCTCGGGGCGAGTGGCACAAAGCTAAATTTGTGGGGAGAGGCGTGGGCTGCGATGACGACCGTGTATGGGCAGAATGCAGGCTGCGTGTACCAGGGCCAGTACGGTCGAGGTTGCATGACTAGCCACGATGCTGCGGCTCGGTGGCGATGCCTCCTTGGCGCCTTTGGCCCGTCGGTGGAGACTCGGAGACTCGCGCCTCTTCTGGTGCCGACCTCGGCAAATGCCTGCCCTGCCATTGGCCCGTCGGCGCTGCCGTTGTACCAACACCACTACCACCACCACTTACTGATCCCAACTGTGGCAATGCTCCCATTGCACCTCGTACGAAGGCATCCGGAACTCTTGTCTTGTCACATGCTGGAATTGTGCTTGTAAAGACCTCTTGCCAATGCCCCCACGCAATCTCGGTAAGCCATGTTATGCGCAAAGGGTCGCCAGCTCTTACCATGTACACTCACCGCGTCTGTTGCTCGCGTTCATGTGGCGGTGCACCATTTGCACAGAACATTGAGTAGTAGGTAAAGTCAGGCATTTTATTGCATGCGAGCCTAGAGACGGGCGTCTAGTGGCTGCGTACCCGTACTTGTATGTAGGTACAGTAAGTACACCTAGCCAGAGAGGTACCTATTCGGGCTAGATCTCCCGGGGCCTCCGCAGCTTCTTTCCCCGCACCCTGCACCTGTCGATGCCTCCATCCACCCAATGGCTGTCCCCCTGCCACCCGCGTCCAACCTTCACGCCATTCTTCTCGTCACCAAGTCGCGCTCGCTTGGTCCCCGTCTCGTCTTCCACTACCCTCCCCTGTCGCCATCCGCTGCTGCCCTCGCTGCCGCCAAAGACCCAGCTTGGTTCCGCCACGACGCGTCAACGGCAAGCGTCGATTCGCGCAGCTCCGACAGCGATTGGGACAGCAGCACCGACTCGGAAGACGACAATGATGTCGAGATAGGAAGCCGCACTAGCGGCGGCCGCGGATCGGGGAGGGCTTTGACGGGCCGTGTGAGCGACAAGTCCAAGCTTGGGGCCGGCGTATGGGGCAAGCACGAGACAATCGACGAGGAGGATACCGAGGACGGCGACGAAAGCAGCGGCAATGGGCGCAGACGAAAGGGCGGCGACTATGACTGGGACACCGTGTTGGGCTTCAAGACGGATGCGCTGGAGAAGATGTTGAGCCCAAGCAAGGACTACAACAAGCGGCGCTTCGAGCTGGGCGTCGAGAGCATCGTCTTTGTTGGCGCTCCAATGTTTGTAAGAGAAGACGGCCTGTGGAAGAAGCTCAAACGGAAGAAGAAGAAGCGATCCGACAAGGACAAGCTCCAAGACGGTGACCTCGTCAAGAATCTGACCATCGTGGACGAAGATGATGGGGCTGATTCTCCCAAAGCCCCGCCGAAACCGGTTCCCGAGCCATTCGTCTATCCAGAGGGCTTTGAGCCAGGCTATGGACACGACTCCATGTCCAGTGGACCATCAGCAGCCCCGTCAGAAGCTGGGTCCGACACTCGAAGTAACTCGACCACGCACGATAACAATCCCGACATGACCATGTTCAATGTTGTCTTTGTGCTCAATCCCCCCGTGCTCGAGTACCAGCAACGCGTCAAGGAAATGTATGACAACGTGACGCGCAAGTATGCCAAGGCGCTCAAGTACGAAGAGGCACGCTTCCAGTATGTCTGGAAAGAGTCGAAGCGCATCATCGACATTAAGCAGCGAGCAAAGGAAACCAACGAGTCCCTCACCGCGACCTGGCGCAAGATTGTCAACACATCCCCCCTTGCCAAGTCTATCGCAATCATGTTCGACGCAATATCGCACGACAAGATTGCCCATATCCACTTTGATGCTACCTTTAATACGTCGTTTCAAATACCACAAGCTGATTCGACGCCGTATCTGCCCACTGCAATCGAACCACAGATGCCGGGCCTATGGCTGACTACGTCAAACGTCGTCTTGGAGGATGACGAGGCTCCCATGACACAGCATGCTGCTTTGCTGCTTCTCGAGGATGCAGAAGTCCTGATCAAAGACCTCGGTGGAGATGCAACAGGCAATGCTGCCGCCATCGCCTTTTACATCCGCAACATCATACCGACAAAGTCACTGCTGAAAATCTCAAAGAGACACAACATCTCAGCGCACGACATGGAGTACATAGCAAGCCATCTCGTGTATTGGCGACGCGCGCGCCTGATTGCGCCCCTGTCACCGCGTGACACGTACATTGTTAGTCCAAACGCCGACATGACCGTTCTCCCTGCGGCCATTGCTGCCTATGCGCAACGCTTTCCAACCTTGCCTACCTTGCCCAAGATACTGAGCATGCTGTCTGGTACGCCTCGGCCGTACAGGAGTTTCATACCCACAGCTGAGCATCGCGAAGCCTACATGGACATTCTAGCTTGGCTTATGCGTGGGGGCTGGGTGACACAGCTGCGAACATTTGCTTGGGTGCGTGTAACACCCGAGATCAAGGCTCAAGTTGCGACGGAGATGGAACGCGAGGAGCGGATAAAGAAAGCCGAAGAAGCGCGTAAAGAAATGCTCGGCGACAACGATTCCAACGCAGAGAGCTTGCTTTCCGGCAAACGCAGTAGTCTGTTGTCACTGAGTTCCCTCAGGACGTCGTCACCGTTACGACGCACTAGAAGAGACGGGGAAGAAGAAATGGAAAACAGTACAATTTTGAGTCCACGACTGACGTCCGCGGCAATGACACGCAGCTCTTCTGCACGCACAGGGTCGGACGCTGGAAGTACAAGTAGCCAACGAACAACGATTGCGCTCAACTCGTCGCAGCGAGCCGAATCACCCTCGCATATTGGCTTGCGAGAAATCAAGCCGCATCGGCCCTCGCCGCTGCACTTGAAGCCTACTTCTCCCTCACCGTCTCGCAATTCGATAGTCTCTCCGACTTCGCCTCTGGAAATGCCGGTGCCTCAGGACCCCTCGTCTTTTACCCACACTACCATACTTTCGCCCCAAAAAGCATCCTCTCTCGAGGCACGCTGGCTTGACAAGATTGCGCAGACCTTTGAAGAATCTGCCATTGAGTCTGCACACCCAAGCCCACCAAAGCAAACGGACGGCGGGTTTGGCGGCATCACGGGCAAAGAACTAAGAGAAAGCTGGCCAATGCTCTTGAGGCACTTGGACGGCAAGCATGCAATCGAGGATGTTTCTGCTAGAGAGGGGATCAAGCGGAAGAGGGTAGCAGCGCTTTTTAATGCGGTCAAAGAAAGGGGGTGGTTGGTTATTGCACGGCATTGGTAGAGGGCCTTGTTCAGCCAAACTGATTTCCGCTCATCACACTATGGGCTTGTATAGCATATTAAGGCGCCCTACATATATCCGAGTTTGCTTAAGTCGTTGTTTGAAGATCCTGTAATTGGTATTGCGGTATTTGCGGTACCATATCTAGCGACTTCACATAATGGACAAAAGAAGCATTTAGAACTGGGTTTGATGGCGAGCAAAATGAGGTTTACACCTTTGCTATGTGAGATGTAAATAGCATAGTATCGGACTTCCGGGGCCAAGGCCCGTAAGCAATATATTCTCAACGGATGATTCGCATCGCTTCTGGTAGAATGGCGTTGACCTTTGATGCGGCCCGAATGCGTAACGCACGTCATCCCGAGGTTGCAAGCGCTCGAGCGCACCGACCACCAACCAGTCCATAGCGCTGAGTTTATTCAAAGCTCACTCCACCACCAGTACACATCTTTCCGCATAGCGATTGCACCTTGACAGCACCAAAGACGGTCCTTGAGATAGCCTGGAGATATTGTCGCACGCATAGACTGTCATTATGAGTACATTTGGTGGAGCGGGCTTGGGACAAAAGGTCCAGAAGCCAAGTCCGTAGGTTCACCCACCCCAATGCGCTCTTCACTTGCCAGTGACAAAAAAATCACTAAAAGAATACGACGAAATTTGTTATATTCGACAATTCACGCGCTAAGTACTGTACAGGCCTGAACGGGGCTCATTTCCACTTGACCATGATGGTACGCCCACTTTGTCTTCCCCGAACCTCGTACCCACTCCTTTACCTGTTACCTCTATACATACCTCCAATCTCTGACACCTCATTCAGGAGAGTGCAAACATATCATGATGTCGTATTTGCGATGTATCAAATCCCACCGTGGGAGTAACGACCCCGAATGCCGCGACCTTTCCAAATCATATCTATCTTGCCGCATGGACCGGTACGTGGACCGCTCCCGCCGACCCTACAAACACAATTTGTGCTATTCAAGGCATTTTTGAAAGGGTTATTTGGCTCACTGTACTTTTGGCTGCAGGAATCTAATGGCTCCCGACTCGTTTAAGAATCTGGGATTCAGTGACGACAGTGATAGCTCTAGTGTTGCAACGACAGCGCAATCATCGTCGACCCAAAACCAAGGAAAGCCGTGAGGAGCGGTATAATGCCCATGCGATCAAGGGCTTAGGCCGTCTGGCCACCTGTGATCCGGTTATATACCGGTAGCCGAGCTCACGCCGACTTTACGAATCCTAGTTTTGCACCTTGTTATAAATCCGATCTAGCCGACGATCGTATTCTGGCCTAGTCTTATCATGCGTTTTTTGCAGTTGTTCGGCAGCGTTGGCCGCTTACATGGAAGAGACGCCAAGCATCATGATGTGCGCGAGATACACAAGGACAAGACTTGTGTGGGATCAAGAAACGGAACTAGACATGCCAGAGTGCACATGAATACGGCACATGCAAGAGCCATAAGGGGATACGAAGAGATAACAGCCTGACAGATGCTGCAGATAGCCGGAATGGGCATGACCGGATGCATCGCAGCAAGGTGGAAACTGAGTTAATGTAGGCCATACACGTGCTTCCAACCACGCTACCTGTCTGTGTAGCTTGGCCATCAATACAACCACCATTTTTCTCTTGTTTCCACCATGGCTCAAAGCACGATTCCCACACTAGTCTCCAGGTAACACGACATGGCGTCCGTCTACACCCATGACCTCGCCCACCATCAGTCTAGCATCTGCATCTGCATGTATGCATGTAGGCGGAGTGTGTGGCAACGATTGCCGTCCTAGCCGAGACACGCAAGTCATCCCCCGCAACCCACATGTGGGGAGCTTGTCTGCCGATCGCTTTTGATTCCCACCGTCGTACGGAGCCCGCCAGTAGCTGATGAGTGAAACTAGAGACTAGAGCTCCTCGCTTTTCGTCCCTGTCAGATGGGCAGTCTGGGTACCGGGAGAGAGGGAGAGAAGGATGATGACGCAATGTCTCGTTTGTGTGCGCTATATCCGTGCTAAGACAGTGTCGCTTTGTGGGTGTTGAGACTGCAAGCGCGTTTCAACCTTCGTAGCGGGTGCTTTTGTTTCAAGCAGACTGAAGTTGAGAAGTGCCCTGCAGCACACTCACCATGTGTATGTATAGACGATGGAAAACCATGTTTGGACAGAGAAACATCAAGTCTAGATTTCTGAAATGTCATATTACATTCATAAACACGACACCCCATGAGGGCTGTTCAAGACCCCCTATAATCGCACATGGATACTCTCTACCCCTCAGCGCCCCGCACTCTTCCCCCCTCCCCATCTTTCTTTGTTTTCCCAAAACCTGTGCACGCCTTGAGACATGTAACGCCGCAGACGTCAACACCACCACCACCACCACCAACAGTAGTCATAGTAGTCATGCCCCCCCCCCCACGCCCATGCCCCCGCCTCGCCTCGCCTCTAACCACGCACTGTGCCTCATCCCAAGCAGTAACCGGGAGAAAGGAAAGAGAGCATGGTTCACACTTAGGCCGCATGTGTCCTACACAGACTCAACTCTCGCCTCAAACAGCAGACGAGTGGAGAGGTGCGGAAGACAAGCCGTATGGCTCCGGTCATGACTCCATGTCTCTCGCGTATACGGCTACCTGCATATGCCGCATGCACATAGCGGGTTGTGCAGCCAGTGTCTGTGAACTGCTGTGCTACTTGTTTTGCTCGATCGTCGCGCTGGTGACACCAACGGGCTGGACGTTGTGTGTGTGTGTGTGTGTCGGGGCGTTGTGTATGTTGTGTATATGTGTGTGGGCAGAGATTGGGTCCGGGCCTGGAGACCGTTTTTTTTTTGCAGACCCTTACTGTAGATGTAGTGCCGATTGTTGATCTGCCGAGTGCAACGCTGTTAGGGGGGGGTGAGTCCGTGTTTTGTGATTGGCTCGTGTGTGTGGAGTATGTAT